AGGAAAATGTTGCCTCCAAAAAGGTCACTCCAAACTCATTTCCCTTCTCTGGTTCCTTCCTTTAGATTGTTTTATATTGCATTACTGTGTGTGATTTTCATACAATTTGGTTTGAATCTAGCAGTATTTAGTGCTTAATCAGCACTAAATAACCAGATGAAGATGTTGATCCAAATGTGGTTTAGTGAAGTAAATTGATAATCATATTTTCACTTCGCTGGTGGCTTGTCTATGCTAAAATGTTCTTTTTGCTATTTAGAGGAGGCTTAAGTATGTAAATCAGTCTCTCTGGGAGATATAACATTTGATATTGTTACTGACTGTACTTGAGGGGAGCAGAATGACTCACTGTGCTAACACCAGGGAAGTAGTCTGAAGGTAGTGGTTCATAGCTGGTGCTCAGCTCATGAATCCTGAATGACTGAAAATTAACAGTTTGGTAACAGTCCCTGTACTCATCTGACAGAACTGTAATTGAGTTTTGGGAGAGGTTTTGTGATAAGAGGCAGAGCTCTAGCTGCCAGGAGCCCATAGTGGGGGAGGAACAGGGCTCTGAAAAAGCATTTTTGGGTGCACGGCAGGAGCTCTAGCTAAGGTAAGGTTCCTGTTCTGGTCTTAGTGGCCAGCCCAGCCCAGCCCAAAGCACGACAGCCCTGTGTCTCGGTTTGTAACTTTGCTTCAATTTTTTCTAGGTGGAATTGCTGATATTCCATGTTTGTTTAGAAGTGAGTCTTTTTTTTTTTTTTCCCCTTCAGTTATATTTTAAAGAGGTTCAGAACCAAAGTAGAAGATGTTCAGTTACCAACAGAGGTGATGCACACTGTACTTCAATTATTAAAAACCCTCTTCTAAGCATTCCATCTCAAGCTTTTCCTTAAATTCGATAGGAATGCTGTTCTTGACAAGACACTTAGAAAAATTACCTAAAAGTGGGCTTGATTGACAGAGTCTTGAGATACAAAAGAGCCATAAATAGAGTGAGTTTATACGTGCTTGTGGGTTTAGAGTGGTCTTCTCTCTGCGTATGTGTACATGCAGTACAGATTTTTGGTCTGGCTGGCATTGTGGAGTTGGATGTACTAAATGGGCCAGACTGGTGAGAGAGAATGGTAGCTGGGAAGTATATAATTAAGTTTGCAGACTTGTCTCATTAAGTCTTCTGTCTCAGCTCTGAAGAGCTGGTGTAAATTTGCATAAAACATATTTCCTGGTTGAGAAGTCTCTGAAAAGGCACACAGTCTGATGGTTAGGGCATTAGCCCGTGACTGGAGAGATCTCAGCTCAAGCCACCAGCAGCAGCCTCTGTTAGACATGTGGCTTTTCTGTTTCTCAGGTTTTTTTCCTAAATGGCAGATAATACCCTTGCCCTGCCTCACAGGAATGTTGCATGAATGTCATCTAATGTCATACATTAGATGAGATGCTGAGAAATGGCAGTGGCGAGGGACATGTAGATTCAGAAATGGTAGGTATCTGGTGAACATAGTTCTCATGGAAATAATAATAGTGGCTGTATGGAAATACAAGTTAGGTTACATAAGGGGAAAGGAGGAGGCTCTTCTGTGATTTCTGGGGTCATCTCAGCCAGCGTAGCAATATAGTATTTACATGGCTAAAGCCTTGCTTCTCTGTCAAGGTACATCTGGAAGGTGAGCAGTGGAACGGATGGCCACCTGGCGAGGCCCACCTCCCTCCATTAGCTGTGAGCTGCTGGGTGTTGAAGGTGAAATCTGTTTCACTCCTGGTGCTCAGCTTTGCAGCCATGTGAGTTTTATGTTCTGGCTTTGAAGATGGAGTGCTTCTGATGCATTATTATTATATATTATTTGTACCTAAAGCCTCAGTAGTGGTTGGCTTTCTACTGAGCTTGGAGCTGTACTCAGCTGCAGAGTTTCTAAGCTGAATGGAAGTGGTGTGACAAGGTTAGCAAACAGGAGGAAAGAAGCTAGGAGAAGTTCGATGGAGAAAGCACGGCACTAAGTAGGACAGTTTGGTGTGCAACTCGGTGGTCTGGAATTGCATAAAAGTTGCTTATACTTTTGTAATAACCAAAATAAATACCAGTTGCTTGCAACTGCTGCTCGTCCTGGCCCCAGCTGCTTTGCCAAGTGCTTATTGGTGCTCCAGGTGAGGTGATTCTTTAAGAGGATGGTGCAGGAGAGGAACGTGGTGGTGGTGTGGCTGGGCAGGATGCGGGTCTTGCCTTTGAGAGGGAAAGCTGGAGACCGACACGTCTTTGGAAGGTAGACACTTAGTGAAGGGCATCATGGAGCATAGAAATATGTTCAAAATGAAGGGAACATAGTCGGGGACTGTTTAGAGAATTATTACTGTGTTGGCCATACAGTATTTGAAATTTTGGGATACTGGGACCATCCAGAGATGCCTGTTGTTTCTCAGGTACTAAGAGAACTTGATTAAATGCTGCTTCTGGAAAAAAAGAGAGGCAAAAAGTTTTTAAAAGGTCTGCCATAGCTTGTAACTGAAGAATAACAATTTTCAGGAGATTTACCCCCATTTTGCAGGTGGGAAACTAAGACTCACGTTCACAAATCTTTTGCAAAATCTCTGCCAGAGCAGAGACCCAAACCCAGGCTTCTCAAGTACTTGGCTGGTGCCATGATTTCAGGGGGATGCTTTGTCTCCTGAGGGGAAGACAAAGCAACTTCTTTAAATTCCCCCCCAAAAACCCCAAGTCACTATGCAAAGAGGGTTTGGTTTTTACTGAGGTGTTGTAATCAAGCAGTGTAATCATAATGGTTCATCCGCCGCGTGCTTTTAAAAAACATGTTGTGTATTGATACTGATGTATTTTAGATTGTGAGGCAAAATACGTCAGCAGCTGCTTGATCTCAGGTTCAGAAATCTTGGGGGTTTTCTTCCTGTAACTGTTCTGGGAAAGGGGAAGATCGAAACGTAGTTGTTCAAGAATTAAACTAAAATGTATTTCTCTTGGAGTGCTTGAGTTGGCAGACAACTGCTAAGTCAAATCATGCATACAGGTTTCTTTTTCTTGCTGTCATTTGGATGTAAGATGTTTCTCTAAGTTGCTAGGGTACTTGTAGCCAAGATAAGAAGCTGTGGTAGAACTCTGAGTATAGAGAGCGTGTTTTTAAGACATAAATTCCATCCTACAAGTGAAATTGCTGGAGACTTGACTGACAGGCAAAATTTGTTTGTGAATGTTGGGACCGTCAGCAGGAAGAATGTACATCACAAACTTTACTGTCACAGGCAAAGTGTGAGAAGACTGTGTAAGAGCTCCCATTTGATCTCGCTTTATCCAAATAAGACCTGAGAAATTAAGGCATCTGACGGGTTTAAGGAGACTATCAGAGTCTGATGGGCTTTGGTCGTTCTGACTTAGACCTGTGCTGGTTATTTCTGGCTTTTTGAAGTTGGTTTTCAATCTTAGGGGAAAGTTCAGGGAACAGTAACTGATTAATAAAATTGCTTCTCGTACAATGAACTCGTGCAAATAGAAACCTCAGCTAAAGACAGAAAAAGTGCAATAGTAAGTGAGAGCAGTATTGCTTGTTTGTAACAACCTTTATCTATGTGGGGAAAATGTAGCAAAGTTTAAAACTGAATTGGCAAGCAGCTTTTAGGAGCTCCATCTGCTCTTGACGCCTGAACCAGCTAAAGGTGCCCCTCTGCTCTGTCAAGCCTGAACTGGCTCAATACACAGTATTTTATTCATTTATCTAAACCCAGCTGAGAACCTGGATGGGGTTGGGATCATCAGAAAAGGAGTGGTTTGGGATATGGAGTGGAGGCCATTGATGTGTTTAAAAGACAAGGGAGAGGGAATAGGTAAGAGCCCAAACTGTTAGTTTATATCCAGCCTAGTGGTTAGCACTCAGCTCCACTCCAGCCTTAATCCCAGGGCTCCCATCTTTCCTGGGGAAGCCGTGCTGGTGGCCAGGCAGTAATCCCCTCAGGAGCTGGTTTGCACTGCAGGAGGAATGGGCCTCTGTGGTGATGTGCTTCCCAACCAGGAGGGTGGGCACGTGTAGGTGTGAGGTGAGGCTGTGTCCCATGTTGGTACGTGCCCCATGGACCCTGCTGGGCCCTCCCTGAGGGTGCTCGGTGCCAAACACAGAAACTGCCCTTGAACTTACGGCTCCCACCCTTCCTGAGGGAACAGCCAGGGGACAAATGCACCTGAGTCTCCTCTGCAACTTGTCCCTTGGCTGCAGAAAGGGCCCAGGGTGCTGTGGGTCCGGCAGGATGGTTCATCGAGCTGAGGGAGAAGGCAAGTCCAGAATTGCTGGGGGGGCATCCAACCTCCTCCCTCCTCCCCATAAGGCAAGGAGTCCACAGAGGCCTGTGTGGGGATGTGGCTGCTGCTGTTCTGATGGAGCAAAATCCCCTCTCTCCCTCCCCCCGACATGAAGAGCTATTTACCCTATCTTGAAAAGCAAGCAGATGCAAATGTAGATCAGGTACTTTCAGCAGTCTGAGAGCTCTTTGAGGTTGGGAAGAAGAAATCTGATTAGGGTTACAGCTGTTTCATTTCCTGACAGATGCACAGAGTGTTATGTGCTGGCGTACTGCGGATGTACACACACACACACACCAGTCTCCTTTTCTATCAGTGGCAGAACCAGACAGCAGCGGCTCTGTACTGAACTCCTTGTCCTGGACACCCTGCCAAAATATGCTTTATGCAGAATTTTCTGTGAACCAGGTTGTAGTGTGTGTGTGTGTGTGCATATAAATTTGTGTGTGTTTTCTTCAGCTGGCAGAGCCTTTGTTGCAGAGTTATTTTGTTGCTGGAGTGGGACAGTACACTGTAAACAAGCATGGCTAATTATAAAGCACTTGTATAAAAAATGATTTGCATTTGTACAAATGGTACTAGTAAAAGTACCCGTGTAAGAGTACCACGAGTACCCAAATAAGCCCAGCTCTGAATGGGGAATTCTTGTCTTTCTTGCAACCACAGCTAAAAAGCTGTTTATAACTAAGTGCTGAGATGGTGTAATTTTCTTTTCTAGGAACTTGGAATAAGAATTCCTAGACCACTGGGACACGGACCAAGCAGATTCATCCCCGAGAAGGAGGTGTGGTGCTGTTTTCAAGTACACAGTGAACTTTATGCTTTTAAGGAACAGCCTTTTAGTAGTAACCCACATTTGGTTTCAGGACAGCTGCTGAGCTGCAAAACATTTACAGTCGTGATCACATTCAGTCCTGGTGAGACACTGGCCACAGCTCTAGGGTACAGAAGCAGTGAGAGCCCGGGGGAGCTTTGGAATAGTCATGACCCCTCCTTCCCTGCTCTCTAGCATGAGAGAAACCCAATACTGTTTTGTGTAAGAGCGTCAGTTTCCTTGTGAACATCCGGATGTAATTTCCTACTGGTCCACAAGGCACCTGCCCCCCTGCTCTGGGGTTACTTTTTCTTGAGCTGCCTCTACCATTCTGAATAATCTGAGAAGCTTCAGAGTGCTGTGGCTGAGCGTTTCTGGTGCTTCTCTCCTCATCGTCTGGTAAGAGAATTTGGAGCATTGAAGATGTTAGTAATATGCCTGTGGTTTTCTAGGAACTGTACAGCCTTAAGCTTCAATTTAGTTTTATTTTTCTCTCTTGTCAGCAAGCTTTTTGCTTCTTTCCCTCTTTTTTTCCTCAGTGAAAATAATTATTCAATTACCTTGTTGTTGTTATAAGAAACTGAGAGCAATTTGGGGCATTCAAGAAAGTGAAGGTGAGAGAGTTAAAAATGAGAAGTCAGTGTTGCACAAAGGAAAGCGTAAAGGCAAAAATCCCCTGTTGCTGTTACAACCACTTCTGATCTCCAAAATGAGAGGTATTAAAGGGATTTTATATGCCTTCCCTTATGTGCACTGATTTAATGCCATTAACAGATTTACAATATAATCCCTTTCACTGAGGCCTCTGGGTGCTACGGTAATGTATTTATTTACTATTTTATTGGTACTTCTTAAACAATATTGCTAATTGTTCTTTCTGTTCAATCAGACAATTCAAGTGGGAAACGAAGACGCCATGATGCACGCGCTGTTTGCGGATTCTTTTACTACACTGGGCCGGTTGGACAATGTTACCTTGGTGATGGTTTTCCACCCACAGTATCTTGAAAGCTTTCTAAAAACTCAGCACTATCTACTGCAAATGGACGGTCCTCTCCCGCTTCATTACCGACACTACATCGGGATAATGGTAGGCTGGGACACCAAACAGCCACTTTGGCAACACTCTCTGGGCTTGTTTAATGGCAGTTATTACTGTGTTTTGCAGTTTCTGGTTGGAGAGGCTTTTCATCAGGAGCTAAGGGGAAAAGCAGAGTAGCTTTGTTTGTGTCTGGTTTGCAAATTGTTTCATAAGGCCAGGACTTTACGTTCATAGTTTCAGTAGGACTGCGAGAAAGAAGGGGAAAAAGTCTGTTATAAAAATAAGACACTTGTTTATTTTTGGTTTCCTTAGTATCTCAGAAACTGTTTTTCAAGAAAGCTTGTTTGTCCTGTCAAATACACCTCCCTCTAACTCAACAGTCCCATCATCTGTTTCTGAATCTCTCAATTCTAAGCAAGTTTTCTGCCAGAAGTGGTTGATTTCATAATTTCCAGTCTGCCAGTGCAATGATTTCTGTCTGTTGAAGCTGAACCAAAGTTTTGGGCCGTGTCTTAATTTGATGGGGAAGGTATTACTGTTTGAATAAATGATACTAGCTCTGTTCTTTGCTGAAAAGCTGCCCTTAGTCTCTCTTGCTCTATTTGTTCTAAAACCTGCTTTCGTTTTAGCTGGTACAGGTTCCCCTAGAGGCAGCCTTGCTTCTTCCCTGCTGGAGACTACTCTGCAGTAGGGACTCTTGCTTCAGCATAGACACTAAATCTGTGGCTGTGCTTCTGCCTGGATGTTGCACCTGTAGCCAGCGTAGTTAAAATGTCTATGAGTGAAGAATTATTATCACAACTTCTGCTGTGAGAACACTAGTCAAAACAGGCTGATAATTATATATATTTTTTTTAAACTTCAGCCTTTGATCACTGCAAGTCTTATTCTTGAATATTGTGAGGAAACGGTGACTTTATGGTATTTGTCATAAAGCACTTACTGTAATTGTTTTCTGTATCACAGTTGTGTTTTCCTTCCTAGGCTGCAGCACGGCACCAGTGCTCTTACCTTGTTAACCTCCATGTGAATGACTTCCTTCACGTCGGTGGAGACCCTAAATGGTTGAATGGTCTGGAAAATGCACCTCAAAAACTGCAAAATTTAGGAGAACTGAACAAAATGTTGGCTCATCGACCCTGGCTTATCACCAAGGAACATATCGAGGTAAATCTTTCATGGAGTAATATGAACGTACTTATTTTTACTTATTTTTCAGTAATGCAATCTCAGATCTTTAGGGTTAAGAGCCAAACAGGGTGAGAGATGTTGTGTGTTACTGACTTTCATTTCAGTGCTACATCACTGTGATACAATATCACTTGTGTAAAGCTGGTGGATCATTACTGGCCTTAAATCACTTACAAATTTAATTTACAGGACACTGATATTTCAGAGTTGTCATGTCAGAATTGTGTTGGTGCAGTGGGGGTGTGCTCAGGTGTGCACTCCCCTAAGTCCTGTGCTGTCAGTAGCCAGAACCCCCTCAGCGTTCCTGAGGTGCCACCAGAGGTTAGGCATCACCGATCACCACGTGTCCAGTCTCAGTTGCTGCTGGTCCACGTGCTTAGTTTTCAGGCTGGGTTGGAGGGAGCAGGCTGGCAGAACAGCCCAGGGGAGTGGTGGTGGGACATGCCACCCAGGACTGCAGCATCAACAAGCCACCAAGTGGCTGCTTCTGCTGCGCCCTCCGTCCCAAGGGCTACCTGGATCAGCTGACTTCCAGGGTGCATTTATCATAGAATCATAGAATCATCTAGGTTGGAAGGGACCTTCAAGATCATCTAGTCCAACTATAAACCCAACTCTGACAAAAAAAACCCATCACTAAACCATGTTCCCCAGCACCATGTCAACCCATCTTTTGAACACCTCCAGGGATGGTGGGATGGTGCCTCAACCGCTTCCCTGGGCAGCCCATTCCAATGCTTGATAACCCTTTCAGTGTAAAAATTTTTCCTAATATCCAACCTGAACCTCCCCTGGTGCAACTTGAGGCTGTTTTATCATGTGTGTGATGGCAGCTCTCAGGGCAGGGGCATGCCTGACCTGGGCCTGGCCCTGGTTACTGCAGCAACTCCTCCTCCTCTTCCTCTGCTGGTCTCTTCACCCTTAGTGAGGAGGAAGTGAGTGCTGGGACTCTCAGCCCTGTCTGCCTGGTGGAGAGGCAGCAGCGGGTCTTGGTGGGAGGCAGGACGCTGGGCTGTGGGCGAGGGTGTGCCAGGAGGCCCCAGACCTCCCACACTTTCCTGCCTGAAGGGGAAGTTGGGGTTTGAAATTTCTTGTCAGATGTAGAACATTCCACCCACAGGGACAAGATGGAGGGAGCCCGGCCTTGATGCCAGGTTTATACACAGCTGATCTGCAAGGAGTTGCTGGGATTTTTCTGAGACTGTTCTGAGACTTCTCTGAGCCCAGTTGCAGAAACATGCGACTGTTGTGGTTGCATCTTCATCAGAGGTGTGAAATTTCAATGCGAGTTGGTCTGGCCTCAATACAAACCAGACAGTGCAAAATAGAAACCCCAACTGATTCAATAACTGAGGGCTTGAGAGGGGAGAGAAGTCATCTCCTGTGTGGCTTAACCATGTGAGGCTGCAGCTGGCAGGTCAGAGAGTTGGGAAGCAGGTTGAGGGCATCAGAAAAGTAATTTTATCTGGTAAAGAGATGCGTCGACAAACTGCACTGAGGTGGGATCATTTGAATGACTTTTTAAAATGAATACTTTTGTCTTGCATGGTTTTTAAAGCAACTTTTGAAGACTGAAGAGAACAGCTGGTCCCTGGCAGAGCTGATCCACGCGGTCGTTCTCCTCACACACTACCACTCCCTCGCTTCCTTCACCTTCGGCTGTGGCATCAGCCCCGAGATCGACTGTGAAGGGGGTCACACCTTCAGGCCCCCCTCCGTCAGCAACTATTGCATTTGTGATATTACAAACGGGTACCACGGGGTGGAGGAGATTCACGCCAGCCCAGCTGGAAGTATTCCAGTAAGTATCTGCCTGATCAAAGTCTCTTTCTAGAGTAATAGTTTCTTTGTAAATTGAATACGTGGAGGATGCCCATCATTTTCCGTTCGGTGAGAGTGGGATTATCATGTGTGTGATGGCAGCTCTCAGGGCAGGGGCATGCCTGACCTGGGCCTGGCCCTGGTTACTGCAGCAACTCCTCCTCCTCTTCCTCTGCTGGTCTCTTCACCCTTAGTGAGGAGGAAGTGAGTGCTGGGACTCTCAGCCCTGTCTGCCTGGTGGAGAGGCAGCAGCGGGTCTTGGTGGGAGGCAGGACGCTGGGCTGTGGGCGAGGGTGTGCCAGGAGGCCCCAGACCTCCCACACTTTCCTGCCTGAAGGGGAAGTTGGGGTTTGAAATTTCTTGTCAGATGTAGAACATTCCACCCACAGGGACAAGATGGAGGGAGCCCGGCCTTGATGCCAGGTTTATACACAGCTGATCTGCAAGGAGTTGCTGGGATTTTTCTGAGACTGTTCTGAGACTTCTCTGAGCCCAGTTGCAGAAACATGCGACTGTTGTGGTTGCATCTTCATCAGAGGTGTGAAATTTCAATGCGAGTTGGTCTGGCCTCAATACAAACCAGACAGTGCAAAATAGAAACCCCAACTGATTCAATAACTGAGGGCTTGAGAGGGGAGAGAAGTCATCTCCTGTGTGGCTTAACCATGTGAGGCTGCAGCTGGCAGGTCAGAGAGTTGGGAAGCAGGTTGAGGGCATCAGAAAAGTAATTTTATCTGGTAAAGAGATGCGTCGACAAACTGCACTGAGGTGGGATCATTTGAATGACTTTTTAAAATGAATACTTTTGTCTTGCATGGTTTTTAAAGCAACTTTTGAAGACTGAAGAGAACAGCTGGTCCCTGGCAGAGCTGATCCACGCGGTCGTTCTCCTCACACACTACCACTCCCTCGCTTCCTTCACCTTCGGCTGTGGCATCAGCCCCGAGATCGACTGTGAAGGGGGTCACACCTTCAGGCCCCCCTCCGTCAGCAACTATTGCATTTGTGATATTACAAACGGGTACCACGGGGTGGAGGAGATTCACGCCAGCCCAGCTGGAAGTATTCCAGTAAGTATCTGCCTGATCAAAGTCTCTTTCTAGAGTAATAGTTTCTTTGTAAATTGAATACGTGGAGGATGCCCATCATTTTCCGTTCGGTGAGAGTGGGATTGATTTGTGTAATCTAGAGGGTTTCCCAAATGAAGAGATACATTTAGGAGAAGCTGAGGTGATGCTGGTGGGCTGGGGGGAAGGTACTGAAGGGAGAGACAAAGATACTATCTCTTGGCTGTCTGTTTTTTGGGTCTCTAGTCATTCATCTGGGCAAACTGAGACAACTCCTGACTTCAGCCAGTGCATGATACGTGTCCTCAGCAGCAGCAGCCAGGAAAGCTTTTCCTCATGGGTGCAGTGGAAAATTGGCTCTTCCTTTGATTCCAGTCTTTGACTTTGTTGCCTCGAACTGTTTGTGATACATCACACAACAGATCATTCACAATTTTCTGACTCTGTTTCTAAAACAGTGTTTCCTGCCTGCAGCGCTTACACTCACCAATCTGTGCTTGCTTCACTTAGTGAAAAGCATGATGTGAACTAAGCCTTGTCTGACATTTAAATTTTGTCTGCTGGAGCTCGCTGGGTCTCTCAAGGAGCAAACCGACTGCAAAAGGCAGAGAGGAAAAGGGCACAAGAGTATAAACTGAAGCTGACTTTATTTTGCTTTGTGCTGATGGATTTTTACAAGACCAGATATTGAATTAATAGTGTGTTGTGGTGTTAAAACAGCTCTGGTGAAATAAGATTCTCTTGCAGTAGCTTTCCTTTGAGGCTTCATTAAATGTGCACTTACACTCGTTCTTCATTTTTCCTTCTTCTCTGTGAGCAGAGAAAGGGGAAAAAAGACAGTTGGGTAGTAAATTGTGGTTACTTCCTCTATCAGAATTTCTGTTACAGCTCCTTGTTTTTCAGTTGTTAAACATCTAGATTAAGAAAGAGAAATTACTTTAATTTTAGTGTGAGAACTGCTTGTTCCAAAAAGCTCTGATTCTTAAAATACACTAAAAATACCAGGGATCTAATTGAGAAAAGATGACGACTAAATGTGAACTTCTGGGTCAGCACAGATCTCTTTCAAGAACTGTTTCCCTCAAAAAATCAGTATTTAAAGATGTAAACAAAGGACATGGTTTGCATTTAATTTTTCTGGTTTGATGATTTCTGCTGTCATCGTCAGTTCTTAGAACATGGCAATGAAATGTTTTTCTCTCCTTTTTAAGTCTACAGAGTCTGTCTGTGAAGTTGAAGCTCTTATGGAGAAAATGAAGCAGCTCCAGGAGTGTAGGGATGAAGAGGAAGCCAGCCAAGAAGAGATGGCCACACGGTTTGAAAGAGAGAAGAGAGAAAGCATGTTCGTCTGTTCTTCAGGTAAAAAAAAAAAAGCTGTAGCGTGTAAATAGAAATATTTCTTTAGATTTTTCCAAATCACTTGAAGAAATACTTACTGCAAAAGGGGGGAAAAAAAGTATTATTAGATGTCTCAAAAATATTACAATTTCTTTGAAGGGATCAAGATAGGTGTGACTTGTTTTCTTCCAGGAACACTTAAAAGAGCAAAGCAGTGTCAAGATTCTCTCACACACACCGTACTAGTCACTATGTTTAATAGGAATTTCCAACAGAAATGGAATCTCTTGAGAGATTTAAGAGTTTCACAAGAGATTTAAGTATCTCACAAGACATTGCAAAGTAGGAGTCCTTAACAAATGTAGCTGTTTAAGTCTACGGAACATTACTTTTCAGATGACTGAGATAATACTTAACCGGTTATAAGCTTAGGGTTGTTGTAGGCTCTTCAACAGAGTTTTCTCTAAAATAAACTTGGCGTGGACATCTTAGAGGCCTCTTTTTCAATAAGATCTCTGTTCCAAAACAGGTTTTCCCTTGACATTTTTACAGACACCTTGAATTAGGTGCAAGGTGTCCCCTAGGCTTAGGGCACAAAGTAAAGACTGGTACACAAAAAAAGGGAGAAAATAATGTTTGTCTGTAAGAATCTGAGTGTTTTTCATGGAGTTGCCACTAAAAGTCATAGCTGCAGTCACACTGAGCTGGGGCAAAGAATTTTAATACAGGTAGTCCAGTGAAACTGTGTGATTATTTAAGAAGCACAGACTCCCATTCTTCTACTACACTTCCAGTTTGTTTTTACTGATGTGTAAAATTCTGTTTGAAATTAACAGAAGACGAAGAATCGGCACCAACAAGAGACGTGTCTCGTCACTTTGAGGACACCAGCTATGGTTACAAGGACTTCTCCAGACACGGAATGCACGTGCCCACCTTTCGTGTTCAGGTACCAAGGATGGGGGCTGCTCTCGGGACCTTTAGTGCGCGATGGCTTTTTGTTGTGCTGGGAACCAAACCTGGCAATTGCTGGGCTCTCACTGTCCCACGGAGGAGAAGGCTTAAAGCAAAATATTGAACAGCCCTCCCCACCCCGCACTGTCTGCCCTGAGATAAATTACAGGAAAGCACTAGACCTTCACAAGTTCATTTTCTAAAAGACTCCATTCTGCCTTTTCTCTTATTCTAAGGATTACTCCTGGGAAGACCATGGCTATTCCTTGGTTAATCGTCTTTACCCAGATGTGGGACAGCTACTTGATGAGAAGTTTCATATCGCTTATAATCTGACGTACAACACAATGGCCATGCACAAAGATGTGGATACCTCAATGCTAAGACGAGCTATTTGGAACTATATTCATTGTATGTTTGGAATAAGGTCAGTTTTGCTACTTTTGTTCTATGCACATCAGACTTGGTAGTAGTGGCTTTTTTTTTTTCCCTTTCTCAGACTGAAGCAAAGCCATTTATTGACCAAACACGCGTGTGTTTTTAAACATATTTTTATTATGGGGGAGGGCCAGTAGTGGTACAAATTACACAATAATTTATTTTGCCATAGGAAGTTAGAAACAACACAAGTAAAATACCTGCTTCTTGAAAATGAAAGTGTTTTTCTTTCAATCCCAAACAGATACGATGATTATGACTACGGTGAAATTAATCAGTTGTTGGACCGCAGCTTTAAAGTTTATATCAAGACTGTGGTTTGCACTCCTGAAAAGACCACAAAAAGAATGTATGATAGCTTCTGGAGGCAGTTTGAACACTCTGAGAAGGTAAGAGTTTGCACACACGCAGAGGGACAGGGGTGGTAGATGGGTTTGCCAGGCTGATGGCCACAGCCACCCAGCTGGTGTTCAGCGTTGAAACATATAACCAAAACAAACAAACATATGTTTGTTTTGGTTAGACTAACTGATAGAGACGAGCTTTTCAAGCACACAAATCCTTCTTTAAAACCCAAGACTTTGCATCTCCATAGCCATCAGAATCCAAGGATCATACACGTACGTGTCATTCAGTGCAATCACCATCCATCCTCATGGAAATCAGGCAAATGACACCAAACGCAGCCGTTACCTGCCAGAACAAACTGAGAGAGCCTGCTGTCAGGGAGAGAACACTTTTCACCTCCTCCCACACAGTTTCTGGTCTCGTCCTCAAAGAAATACAGTAAAGACACTGAGGGGATGAGCTGGGGAACAAAAACTCTCACCTCCGGTAGCTGCTGAACTCCTCTGCCTCTGCAGAGACAACCGTTTTATGGCATGTTACAATTTTTCTTGTGTTTCCCCTCAGGTAACCACTCCGTGTTGTCCAGGTGACAATTACCTGTGTGTTTCTGTCCCACAGGGACAAAGCACCTTCCCGCCTCTTCCTTTGCTAACAACCCCCTCTGCTCCACAGGTACCAACCACCCTTTTGCCTTTAACTAACCGATTAATTTAATTAAGCTAAATTTGAACAATTATTTTCAAGCTGTGCATTGTCTGCTGCCAAAGAAGGGCTTGTGTGCTTGAAAGCTGGTCCGTTTTGTCCAGCTAAACCTGGACAGGTCCACCACAGGAGGAGAACCTCTTTCTCTGAACCTGGCCCCCCTTAGCCGTACCCTCGGGCAGAACCGGGTGGCTCAAACACTGAGTGCTCCCCGGTTCCTCCTGCAAACACCGACACGAAACCCCCAGCCCCACAGGCTTCCTTTGGCTGGTGTAGGTTACCGTGAGCGCGCCGTTAAAGCAAGAAGTAAACTTCTTTTCTTCCCCCCAAGGTCCATGTCAATTTGCTTCTGGTAGAAGCTCGGATGCAAGCCGAACTACTTTATGCTCTGAGAGCTATTACTCGCTACATGACCTGATGTCTCCGGCTGCCTGGCGACCTTGGAATGTTGTGCAGCTGCAGCGTGGCAGAGGAAGATACGAAGCCTCAGGACCAACGGTAGCTCTAAGTTAAGATGCCCATTGTGCCATAACTCCTTTAGTTTCAGCTCTTTCCGTGTTTGGAATCTCACTGCTGCCACTGGGCAGTGATCGCTTGGCAGTTGAAGAGACAGGGTTGTGCAGAAGTGCTGCCTGCTCACCCTATTTTGGCTTTAGACAGCACGGGACACTCTCTGAACTTGTGGCAATATAGCAAATGATAGATACATAGATCTTGTGTTAAGGCAAATACTACGGGAGTTGGAGCGTGACAAGAAGTGGGACTTGATGACATTTGCTTTCCCTCTGAGAATAATTTTAGAAAAATCTTGATGCTGCTATTTGTGCTGGTGGAGTGAACAGACACAGGCTGTTCCAGTTAAGCTAAACGTGAAAGTGAGCACTGCTATTGTCTGAGCCTTTATTGTGTGTGGTTTCAAAAAAGCCTTGTTATTTAGATTCCTTTTTTAATCAGAACTAAACCTCTTCTGTCCACACTGATGATTTGAAAGATAGCAGTCAATTTTCTCAAATAGTTTAGCCTTAAAATGCTACGGGACATTTGTTCAGCATTATTTGGTGAGCTCCAAAGTGCAATGGTCTTCCTAAGGAAAGAAGAGGACTCGAGTCCTCAGAGCTTTTTTAGAGATCTGACTACACGAAGTGTCGAGTAGCTTCTTGTCCTGTTTTTCAAGGATGAACCGATACCTGTTCCAGGAGCTAGGACAAGGTGTGGGAATGTTGTTCTAGGCTGCCAAACAGTCCTACTGTATTACATGCCCAACGCTGGTCTTACTGATTTTTGCAGTTGCTTAAATAACTAGGCTAAAAACCATCTATTTTTAGTAAATCAGAACCTGATTAAAATGCTGACGTTTAATATACAGTGGTTTTGGAGAACACATGAATACTTTTGTATGAGTGTGAATTGCTTTTTAAATTTGTCAGTATTATTGGTATTTTTTAAATAAAGGTAACAACTTTTTCTGTTGGTGTTTTGGTGTGGTTTAATTTTACGCTTCTGTTCTTACTGGTTCAAAGACCATTTCAAAATGTTTGAAACAGCAACTGAGCAAACACTGCAAATGACAAACTGTGACTTTTTCAACCGAGTCTAAAATGATGGGAGAAAATAAAGTTTAAAAAATAGATTTAGGTCTTCACTAAAATGATCAAGGAACACCTCTCATATACTCCTGATGTTTTCATCCTTTCCATAGCCCCCCACCCTCTCTTCAGGCACACTCTGCCCTACAGGGTTTTCTCTTTCCTCACAGGTAACAGGTGGGATACGATTGGAGATTCCACCTTTATGTTTATATAAGCAATGACTAGGTCTAAGTGTGATTTTGAGAGTTAAACTGCTTTTAAAATCCTTTGGTAGTGAACTTAGTTCCAGATCAGGCTGCTAATTTTCAAAGGCTAGTGCCAAAAGGATGGCTGGCATCGGAGGGATGGCTGGGTCTGTGCAGTCCGAGTGAGGACTGTACAGCAAGAGGCAGTGGGAGGGGGATTTCCTATAAGGGACAAAATTCTGGCCACACTCTTTGAGCCGGCTGTAACGGGGGTTACAGTGCACTCTCTAGAAAATCCCACCTGCTGCCAGTAAGGTGGGAGCCTTGTTTCTAAGGCAGGAAAGAAATGGATTTTTCCAAGCCCCACAGGTAGATTGAAATTAAGATTTCTGTCCCCTGGCCTGCTTCTCAGTCAGCTCAGATGGGTTTCTCTCACAACAGACCCTTCTGAGAACAGTTTTAAGCTTACAATCCAAGAAGGTAAAATATCTAAAAAGATCTAGGGGAGAAAGATTAATAAACTGTCAAAAATTGTGACTAACAGGAAGCATCTGCTATTTCCTCTTAACAAAAAATACAGGATTTTTAATGTTCCAAAAACAGAGCAAAACTTTCCTGTGTAAGGGCACATCATAAAGCTAAGCTCTGCCTAAGGACCCAGAAGCAGCGTCTTTACAGTCTGCAAATGGGGTTTCTGCAGCACCCAATTCTCCTGCTGCTTTTTGGGGGGGGTTAAGGGTTGACACGTAATTTTCTGAGAAGCCTAAACTGGCTGTTTCCATCCTACGCTCTCCAGACACGTGCAGGTACCTGCAGGAACTCGCTCCCTTTTTAAGCAGTAAACACTCCAGAGACTGAGTGAGAGTGTGTGTGTGTCTGTGTGTGTGTCTGTGTGTGTGTCTGTGTGTGTGAGTGGCTTCATATGGTCACATTTCTAAACAGCACCAACCACAACCCGCGCACGCAAAGCTACTTACCTTGGAGAAAAGGCCTGAAAACGTTTGGGGATTTTCCATGAAAAACAGGGAGGTGTTTGTGGCCCGGAGCAGCAGAGCCCAAGCGAGGCTGTTAAGCGCGGTGGCACCCAGAGCCCTCGGTGGGGACCTGTCTTTAAAAATAAGAAATTGGTGAAGTTACCAGATGCCCTGTGAAAGGGGGCGGTGGCGATGGCTGCACAGGGCAGCAGCTGAGGGCAGGGGGGGGACGAGCCCCAGCGCTGCCTCTGTCACTGGTGGGAGTGGGCTGCCCTCCTCTGCTGTGGGCTCCGGGAGCACTGGCAACTCACCCCACGGACCAGGGGGCCACCAGGGGGTCCTGTCCCAATGCCAGGCAACGTGTGGAAGGAGACTGACCTCACAGAACTCAGGGCTGGCTGCTGCCTGGGCCCAGGAGGGACACTATTAAAAAAACAAACAATAACACTCAGGATACCCAAATCCACCCTGTGCTGCAGGGACACCCTACGCAGCCCTCCAGGCCCCTGTTCCCAGTTTGATGGGTAATGACTGACATCATTAGCATTTTCTTTGAAGAGATCTTAATTGCCTACATACCCACCTTGACTGGAGCAAAACCCCTTCTGACAGAGGCCCGGTGCTTGTCAGCGCTGATCAGAGCTGCTGACAGGGCCTGGCATCCCCACCCCGCGTTAGGCAGCCTGCTCTCTGCCTGCCCTTGGCCTTGATGCCAGCGCCAAGAACAAATGCCTCCAGCTCCCTCCCCACAGGGCAGTACTCACCCCTCAGCTTGTCTTTACTGCCCCCAGAAAGCAAATCCAGTCTTTTTTCCAAGAAACAAATGGGGCGTTGAAGCCATTTATATTCCTCTCAACTGTCAGCTAAAATTAACATGGCAAAAGGAGGAATGATAATTGAGATCTTTAGGAGCTCAGCAGAGCTGCTGCTGGAGCCAAACCGTACCCAAGTGCCGAGCAGCTGTCTCCTGTGGGTTGCAGCGACGGAGGCAGCCGCACGCACTCCCCAGGTCCTGCTGGTCTCAAGAAGCTCCCGAGCTGCTGGGACAAAAGGAACATCACACATTTCATTGTCTTCACTGACATTCCCTCCTCACCGCTTCCAACACCTGGACCATGAAATCCCCCCTCCCCTACTCCATCAACAGGAATACAGAAGCAGGGACCTACCCTTGGAGAGTGGCTTCATATGGTCACATTTCTAAACAGCACCAACCACAACCCGCGCACGCAAAGCTACTTACCTTGGAGAAAAGGCCTGAAAACGTTTGGGGATTTTCCATGAAAAACAGGGAGGTGTTTGTGGCCCGGAGCAGCAGAGCCCAAGCGAGGCTGTTAAGCGCGGTGGCACCCAGAGCCCTCGGTGGGGACCTGTCTTTAAAAATAAGAAATTGGTGAAGTTACCAGATGCCCTGTGAAAGGGGGCGGTGGCGATGGCTGCACAGGGCAGCAGCTGAGGGCAGGGGGGGGACGAGCCCCAGCGCTGCCTCTGTCACTGGTGGGAGTGGGCTGCCCTCCTCTGCTGTGGGCTCCGGGAGCACTGGCAACTCACCCCACGGACCAGGGGGCCACCAGGGGGTCCTGTCCCAATGCCAGGCAACGTGTGGAAGGAGACTGACCTCACAGAACTCAGGGCTGGCTGCTGCCTGGGCCCAGGAGGGACACTATTAAAAAAACAAACAATAACACTCAGGATACCCAAATCCACCCTGTGCTGCAGGGACACCCTACGCAGCCCTCCAGGCCCCTGTTCCCAGTTTGATGGGTAATGACTGACATCATTAGCATTTTCTTTGAAGAGATCTTAATTGCCTACATACCCACCTTGACTGGAGCAAAACCCCTTCTGACAGAGGCCCGGTGCTTGTCAGCGCTGATCAGAGCTGCTGACAGGGCCTGGCATCCCCACCCCGCGTTAGGCAGCCTGCTCTCTGCCTGCCCTTGGCCTTGATGCCAGCGCCAAGAACAAATGCCTCCAGCTCCCTCCCCACAGGGCAGTACTCACCCCTCAGCTTGTCTTTACTGCCCCCAGAAAGCAAATCCAGTCTTTTTTCCAAGAAACAAATGGGGCGTTGAAGCCATTTATATTCCTCTCAACTGTCAGCTAAAATTAACATGGCAAAAGGAGGAATGATAATTGAGATCTTTAGGAGCTCAGCAGAGCTGCTGCTGGAGCCAAACCGTACCCAAGTGCCGAGCAGCTGTCTCCTGTGGGTTGCAGCGACGGAGGCAGCCGCACGCACTCCCCAGGTCCTGCTGGTCTCAAGAAGCTCCCGAGCTGCTGGGACAAAAGGAACATCACACATTTCATTGTCTTCACTGACATTCCCTCCTCACCGCTTCCAACACCTGGACCATGAAATCCCCCCTCCCCTACTCCATCAACAGGAATACAGAAGCAGGGACCTACCCTTGGAGAAAGGCTTCCCTGCCCTTCTACTACTGCTCTGCTTCCCAGGCTCCTCCCTCCATCTCCTCGCTGGAAGCAGATCCCCAGGCACTGCCAAAGGTCCAGTGGTGCCACTGAGGGGGCTCCGAGTTGCTGCCTCAGAACAACAAATCCCTCCAGCCTCTCCCCAGGGATTGCCAGGCTGGAGACCTGCTCTCCGGGCACGCACACCACATGCCAGGCCACTGACCCTCAGGATCGGAGCCAGGAGCCCAGCAGCCCCTGCACAGCAGTTTATTCTTAGTAATTTGAGGTCAGAAAAAAGAGAAATGGGTCAGGTCAGTAAAGCTTTCTGTAGCCAATTGGGCTTTTAATGCTTGAGGCCAGTGACGCACCTGCTGAGCTAATTCATGGGCTACAAGAAGGGACTTCTACACACTGAGAGGATCAAAACTGAGCAATAAACAAGGCAGAAGCAGCTAGAAGGAATGTGAGGGATGCAGAGCCTTTTTGGCCCCAGGATGGAGACACGAGCCAGGGGAAACGGCTGGCCAAGACCATCTGAGAAGTACAGGCCCACAAGTGGCTCCTGGGAATGTGGGAACAACTGAAAGAAGACACCAGGGTAGCTAAAAATCTTTTACAGCAGGGATACAGGGGGTTTGCCTTAAGATGTGAAGTCCCAATTGAGAAAAGCCTCTTACCTGCAGAGCTGGACCTACATTTTTGGTATCACAGAAGTCCAGGTACTCCATGGTAATTTACCTTTTAAAAATTAAGAATTTAGCAAATTTTCCCAGTCAAAAAACTATGCGCTTAAATAGACAAATCACACTGAATGAACAGCTGCAATATATTCAGTTCAAATATATTGTAAAAAGTAATTACGCATGCAAAGAATGCATAAAAGCGTCTCAAAAGACAGTATCCAGTATATAAATGCAAGGCTTTACTGACTTTTTTTTTTAAAAATTAAATTGCCACACTCTCCAACATGCTGACCAATGTACAGGGATATTAGAAGCTGTACAGTCTACACCACAAAAAAATAATGACTGATTAAAATGGAGTAATAGTCACAGCTGGAAGACAGGAGTGATGCCTTTGAATTCTGTCAAGAAGTTTTTCTGCCACAGGTTTGAACTCTCTCTCCCAATATAGTTTGTGGTGGTCCCTTAAGTCTGTGTCGAGGCTGTGATCCAATGCTAGCTCTTCATCTGTAATCAAGGAAAAAATATCATCATCAGTTCTGAACCAAAATATACCCACCCATGTATTTTTGGACCACAGCACATACAACTTATCAGTTGTGTATGTTGGTGCCTTAAGAACAACTCCATGTTTAACTCAGCATCGGAGGGACTTCAATTGAAAATACAGGATGTCACGGTCAGTGAAAAGGGTATCACAGGCTCTACTGTCCTTACCCCTCACGGTTGTGGTGAAGCCGTGTCTCTGAGATCAAGCATTTACTGTGACTGTCAGCCTGGAAACTGCTCAGGTTTTAACATTCCTCACAGCAGGTTGGCTAATGTAAGTAATCAGACTCCTCTAGGTTTTTCCTGTCACAAATTGCTTTGCCAATCTGGTTCATGAGGGCTCTTTCAAGCTGTTTCTACTATCAAACGTAAAGAACATGACCCACACTGGTTACTGTATTACTGATGCCCTCCCTTCCTCTCAAACTTCATAAATAAGAGGACACTCGTAACAGAGACAAGCCGTGTTCGCAATGGAAGGAAGTCACCACTATTATTCCCCCTCCATTTTCCCTTGCAAAGAAACAAATCCTTATAGAAAAAAGAAAGCAGTCTGCAACCAGAAGCATGATCCTGCATCAGGGATCTACAAACACAACTGATAATGCTGAATGAATGTTTTCATACAGTCTAAGAGAAGGATATTTGACAGCCTTTAGGCCCTGAATGGGCTCAAAACGAAGGTACGACACTTCATCCAACGGCAGTGTGACTTATCTCTGTCCTAGACTATGAAAAACCACCAGAGTCACAATCTGTTACACAGATAACTCTGTAAGGGAGCCGTTCACAGCAGGTAAAAGACAACTTAGAGCTGAAGAGAAACTTCAGGTACCTGCATTTTGAGTCAAACTTTGTCTAGAAAAGAGACAGACAGCACCTATTCCTATTTGAAGGAACACCAAGGTGCCTACGGAGAGCACGTGGCCCGAGCTGCAACAGCTATAAAGGAAGAGACAGCATTACTCTTGTGTGGAGATGGGCTCCATTTCATAGAAAGTTACCACAACTGCAAAAAATACTTGACTTCTATGTCTCTACAGTGTTTCTAAATTATCAAAATTAAAGAGATGCTGACTGTGAGGTAGATTATGAAAGGGATTCTGCATAAAGAGAAGATGACACTCAGGGGCTTTCTGTAATAAAATAAAGAGAAACAACCACATTCTTTCAAGAAAGAAGACATGTCATATCTCTGCAGGAAGAAACCCTGTAATCAAAGATAAAATCCAGCCTCAGACATCACATCTGTATTTGATGGTACCATAGGATAATTTAGGTTGGACAGGACCACTGGAGCAGATCAGGTTGCCCTGTTGAGTACTGAACATCACCAAGGATGGACATTCCACAGCCTTTCCAGGCAGCCTGTTCCAGTGCTTGACCGCTGCCATGGTAGAACTTTATTTGCCTAATACTTAATTGCAATTTTTAATTGCAATTTGTGCCCATTATCTCTTGTCCTACCCAATGGCACAGTAGCCCAACATGTAAAATGAATCTCAGTATCACAGAAGTGAGAGACTCTGAAAAGGAAGATAAGGGGTTTGTTTTCAGGCAGAATTGCTTTGCCTACTCCTGAAATTATTTTTCTACCCAATTTAACTATCTTCTAACACAGACCAAGAGACATTTCTCCCTTTCAGCAGATGGCTGTGCCCCCCCTGAAGTTGATTGAATGTTTATGGAATCACTGAGGTCGGGAATTCCAGCCTACAAGAACAAGGGTCAGAACCAGTTCAAAAGCAGAAGTGTTGAACCAAAACAGTAAATTTCCCAACGCAGAGTGTGAGTGACACTGGGGATCAGCAAGGATCAGTGTCCCACATGCAAGCTCTGCATCCTCAGATAATTCAATTTTCCCACGACCCTCCTCAAAACTAGCAAAATTGGGTACTGGCCAAACAGCGTCTGAACTGGCTGCAAGCCCGGGAACAGGACAAGCACGCTGGGTCTGCATGCGACCAGGGAAGCTGAAAACCAGAGTACAGACCAGAGTCTGCAAGGGCTACCCATCCCTACAACTTTGGAAGGAGTTCACATGTACTAAGATTCCAAAATAACCTCCTCGAATAGTTAGTGGAGCTGGAGGTGAGTAGAATGAAAGTCTGGAAGAAGAGAGGAAGAAAAGAGATTTCACTGAATGACCAAACAGATGAATGTTCTCAACACAAGAGGCTAATCTCCACATGCTCCTGAGGGACCGGGAAAGCTTTGCTTTGCCAGGGGCCTGGAAACACCAGCCTCCAGAGGCTCTGAGCCAGTCAAGTGACACAAAACTCAAGAGCAGCTGAAAGAAGACAAGTGACAGAGCCAGTGGAAAGCAGTGCCACTATGTCTCAGGCTGCTGGGATCAGGTGGGGAAAAAGAAAAACAAATGGCACCTTTTGTCCAGCCTTTCTCAGGCTCAACATCTTTTCAGGCTATTTCCACTCCCTTTTGGCTCCCTAATATCTTCTGTCATCCTGTGCCAGGTAGGGGAAGGAAAAACAAAGGGGAGAAGGCCAAGCACAGCAGGTGAAGTGGGGTGTCTGCTGTGCCATGCTCCACTTTTTCCGCTTCCTGAGGGTGTGCTGATGCTTAAGCACAGTCCTCGGACTGTCAGCAGTTGCCTCCTGCTTCCTGAACGATAGAATCAGAGCGGTGACGGTTCAAGGCTGCTGCTGGACACAATGGGAGGAGGAAGACGTAGGACAATGTTCACCAGCTGCTATTACTAAAATGTGTTGGCTCTTACCACACAGAGAAACCAGATCCAATGAATAGGATGCGCTTTTTCTACTGCTGCTCTTCTGACTACAGCGTGGGGAAGGATTACCCTTCTGATTTAATTCTGACCTATTTTTAATTAATTGTCGTTACAGTTGCAATTGTCACTACAATTGCAATTGTAGCTGCAATTGCAATTGTACTTGAACTTCCAGTTCACAAAAGCTGTACTAGTTAATGAGGGTTCCAATTACTACCCAGCCTGGACTCTGTAGTCAAGTTAATTGCTGGAATAAGCAGTGTTAAATGCAGAGGAAAAAATGAGCAAGAATTTTCCAAAACAAAGACATCTATTCCTTGCTGCATGCCAGAAAATTCAAGCATGATTGTGGCTGTAAAGTTTACAGTTCTGCTGCAGAATGTAAAAAGTGTACTAATGATCTTGAAACACTGAGTATTTTCAGTTAAAGAGATGGAATTACTGCCCACATTAAGATATGCTCTACCATAGCAAGAAATGTAATGAATACAACAATGAAAACCAGTAATTCTGCTGTAACTGGAAAAAAATCCTCACAAATCCACCCACTTTTCTGATTGTCTAGAAACAAGAGAGACCTTGAGGATCTCACTTTCTATTTGGGTCTGACCAACATGTAACCTTCTCCACAGCAGACATCTTTAGTAAATTTCCAATTGAAACTAAGTCAAAATTACTCAAGGTTTGCTTCAATTTCATTTACATTTTAAAGATATTTTTTTTAGAAATATAATTGCAAATGACCTACCCAAAATAAAATCACAACCAAAGCAGTACTCATAAAACAAAGGAGGAAAATTAAATATAGTGACTACTGGACTATTACATAGCAATTAAACTCTCTGGAATTTGAAGCAAACATAAATGTGCAGATGAAAAGATGCAACTGGGTAAGAAAATCAAGGTCTTAACATCCACTTGTAGGCACCTTCCAGCCTGTATCTGTGGAGGAGCACACCCTCTCCTGCTTTAGGGAGCAGGTGAGAAATTGTCAGGAGGTTTCCCCTTGCCCACAAGGACAAGAGGCCACATCCAGTGAAAAGGATGTCTTGCACTGAAGGTCTATGGCACAGTTAGCTCAAGCAGGCAAAAAGGCAGCTGGTGAAGAGCATTATTGCACACTAATGAGACAAACCGGAGCGGGAAGTAACAGCAGCCAATTCCACTCTGGCAATCCGTGAGATCTGAGGGAATGTGCTGAATGGCAAGAGACCACCGCGTTGCTGGGTAGTCTGTACCAGCCCACCACCTGAAGCTGCATCACACACTGCCCACCCAAACTAACGCTGCTTTGATTTTGCTCCTATTTCTCTTATTAAGGAAACGAGACCAAGATTATGAATCTCACCTAAGAGCGATGTGAGCAGCACCAGCAACGTGTCGGTATCTTCTCCAAAGCACGAGGCCGCACTTGTGATGTTTTCACTGTAGTTCAACAGGGTTTTGCATATCAAACAAGCCAACTGCCAGTCTGCTGGCCCAAAGTCTTGTAAACAGTCAACTAACCTGTCAGAATCAAACAAAAACAGTGGTTTGCTCCGTGTAGTTTTCTCCTAAATCCTTCAAAATCTGGCAGTCCAGAAATGTATGCTGACTCCATCAAAGTTTCCAGGAAAATTCTATGTTAATGAATTTAAGATGCTACTTTCTTCCTCAGTAACTTCCCCCTTTGCATTTAGTCTAGTTCCCTAAGGATGGGAACTTGCCTTTTGTCTACACATCTCTGTGTATGCCTGCCTGCATCTGTCTATCCCCCAAAACTTTTTAACCCAAATGACCAATTTAAAATCACATCCATCACAAATGTAACCATCTCAAAGACACTAAAATTCCATCAAATTTCATGACAATCTGTGACTGTGCCAAATCTGTGGTTACCACTAGAGCAGCAGACACTGCAATTTGAGCCAAACCTTATCAGGCACCAACAATTCATCTGGAAAAGATGGTATGAATACAGAAAAAGCTTCAGTCAAAATATCCAGCTTATCATGCATCAGAAGATCTGACCAGAAGACAAATCCAAAGGAATTTTCTACTTCCATGACTCACAGAATTACCTCTTACATGCAGTGAAGCCTGACTATTTTGCAGATCTCGCCCATTCCTGTATTTCCTCAGCCTGAACTCCCAACGGACTCATCTCAGAAATGCCAGTTTTATTAAGAACCATTATGTTCTTGACCTTTCTCCCAATCTCACTTCCTTGCAGATACCAAAGGCAGGACTCCGGAAATTAAGCTGTAACTTTTCTGCCTGTACCAGCTTATGTACAGTAGCTCCCCAGAGTTCCCATTACCAAACAGCAGTGTCCACAAGTCCAGGGGCAGCAGAAGTAAATGCTGGTTTTCACCTGCTGTCCCTAGTGACCTCTCTACTAGTAATCCTTCACTGCTGTTCTCTTCCCCAGCCCTGTGACCCCCTTCTTCCCTCACTTCTCTACTTCATTGTGAGATTTATAATCTGGTGATTTGTAAAGGGAGCAGGGGATAACTATTACATTCAGGTATGACTGAAAATAGCAGTAATTGAAAAGCAACCAAAAAGAGGTTTGCTTTTTCTCTCCTCTCTGAAGGCAGTCATTGTGGAAGACCAGGAGGCATCTAATGAAAAGGCAAAGAACTTGCCCTAATTTTCTGAAGTTTAACTCCCTGATGAGACTAATTCCATGTTTTATTAGGACCACTATGTATTGGTACAATAACCTCATTTTCAAAAATCCACAGAGCTGGTTTGGCACAGTGAGGGTGACCTCCTTAACAGTCACTTCCAAATTCTCTAGATTACTCCACACTGTTAATGTTTCTCCTTCCTTCTTCACAAATTTGCAGACAGACCATAGCAAATTCTATATTCTATACAATTCCATATTCTACAGAATGTTCTATATTCTATATAAAAGAAATTTCCCACATTTATTATTCAATTTGCCTGTAACTTTTTGTTATTCTTCTTTATATTTTGTAAATTAACTAGAACACGAGAAGGAACGATGAGCAGGCTATGCATTGTTTACATTGTATAAAAAAGTGATTACACGATGTATGAACAGGAAAGCATTTCAAAGTCAGGCATATTGTTTCATAAACGTGGGCTGTATCAACTGCTTTACAAGCACAGGAGCACAATCTTTCATGCTGCTCCAGTTAAGTTGGATCTGCTATTATCTGAACATTGAAGCCACAAGTAAGGCATCCACAATGGTATTTCAAGATCTAATACCACTTACAATGTGAGTGCCTTAAACTTGAACTCTTGGTGAGAGGAAACTCAGGAGCTACATGGCTACATCAGACAGTTTTCCCTACAGTACTGAGCAGTTACAAAAATTGCAAGAGACCATGTGGGATATCACAGTTCCTGGAGTAACCTTCACACTTACAGCAGATACACATTGATGGTGCCTATTAACTGTACCCCACGTAGGATTCAGTTAGGTTCAGCACAAGCAGCTACTGCAAAGCCATGCCTTAGCTGTATTGTATGGTACTCTCCTCTGCTGGATATATCAGGGGAATCTTTGGGAGATTATTCGATGGTTTTGGGCTCTGCAGTAGGCTAAACCACTCTAATGCTTTTGCAAAAAAACATACAAAAGAATATGAAAGGCTCTTTCTTGAAGAACATTATATGCTGAATGTCTATTAAGTATGTATCCTTACTACAAGTTATTGGCCCTTGTAAAAAAGAATCTGACTGAAACTCTTTGGCCAAGCTACTCAAAATTGCCTTTTTTTGTAAGCTTAATCAGGAACTTACTTTCCAATTCCTCCTCCTTCCATCAGAAGAGCTCGTTTGTTCTTATCTACGGTGAGATTGAGCAGAACTCCACAGGCAGAAAAACAGACATCTTGGTTCTTGGCGTCAAGCAAAGCAATCATGAACTTGTGTACTGGATTGTAGAGAAGGAAACAATCTTAGTGGGGAGATGGCCTTATCGTACGAATGGCATTATAACATACTTATTAAACATGTATACTTAGAAAGCAGCCAAATGCAGGATACCCTACCCAAAAATTTAACCTCGTGGCATATTACTGTGCCATTTGTAGAGTAGGCACACGACCAGAGTAACAGCCATGAGTACATCATGCTGAACACCAGTTTTCTTCAAAGCAACGCGTACAAAACTCTAGTTATAAAAATACACCAAACTAACGTGGAAATCCAACCAGAAGAGGCTAAATTGAGCAAACTGAATTACAGCTTATTTCTTAAAAGTATCACCCTCCTCTCAATGGCACAGTCAGCAGGAACTGCTAGGAGCTGGCATTTGGCACTCATCGCCTGCACCGCGTCCAGCTGGAGCCGCCGCCGCCTGGGGCTCCTGGGGGAGTGGGGTGAGGAGCAGAGGCTGGAGGTGCAGCATCTCCCAGCGCCCGCTGACGCTCCACTCAGCAGGCAGCAGAAGGCAACCCCAGCGAGGGAGTTGGTGCAGCCTCAGCAATTCCTGAGCTTGGCACGGCGACACCACAGTCTCTCCCAGCTGGAGAATTCAGTCCTTTGACTGAGAGACAGCTCGTTAGCAACCGGTTAAGTGTCAGGTACCCCTCTGTAGATACCTTCTCCTCCAAAAGGGGTGGCATGTCCACCCTTGAAAATAAGGGGCTGTATATTGTGGCATATCACCTCACTTTCAGCACTGACAGGTAGCTACAAAAAAAATTTACAGTGAACTGGTGTTTAATTAAACTTATGACACGCCTGCTGTGGATAGCAAGGAGTTGCCGTTTTTCCCAAAGCTCTTTAGACACCCAAAGCAAAAGGGCTTGAGAAGACTTGTATCCCACTGCACCCAGAGGCAAATAGGAGGTCTCTGCTGAGGGAGTCAAACGTCTTAAATGCACGTTACAAAGTGCTAACAAGCTGTCCAACATGGGAATCAAAAGTCTGTGATTACGAACCTAAATGAGAATTCACTTTAAGTTTAGGAACTCATTTGATATCCTATCACTACTAACCTGTAGGATTTGAAAAGCTGTAAGAGTGAAGCAAAATTTCAAAATTATAATCTTTAGGAAAAACAGAGGGTTTGTAGTATTTACTTTTGTGAAGGCACCATGGCGTATTTTTCCTACTCCAATATTTCCATATTAATGAAACTGAAATAAAATGGCATTTATAATGACTACTATTGGATCCCAGCATTTGTCTAATTTGCAAAACATCAGAGAAGATTGCTTCTACTCTTAGACAGCTTATTAACAATATTTCCTTTTTAGAACTATGAACATTTAAAAAGAGGACTCCTACAAATGCAAAAGTAACTCACTCTTTTTCTGCATGATGAAGTCACAGATCTCATGATACTGGGAAAGATTGCCAAAGACTCTGACAGCCTCTACAACTCCATCCATATTGTTGCTCATTAACAGCTTTAAAAGCACTGTTGGTTTGCAGAGAAATGAAATAAAAACAATTACTTGTAGATCACAAACATGTGCTTGGCTTTTTATCACTATCAGAATGCAAGCAGCAGCAGCAATAAATGTAATAAATGGGAACAGTTATCTATCTGTCTGGTTGCAGCGAAGGGGGCGAGCTGATGGCGGAACAAGAGCTAAATTGTGCAGGGCTTTGAAGATGAGACAAAGAGCTCCAATATAGGGCTAAATGCAAAGGAACAAACGAGGAGTTACGAAGACAGCCTAAGCACAGTTGTAATAATGGGAGCCAGTTCTGCTACACAGTTTTGAGTAGGCTCATGTGAAAATCCAGGAAGACAAAGAAGAAATAAATGTTGCAATATATAAGAGAATTGATGTGGATCCTGAACAGATGGTCTTATGGTGCGATTTCTCCTAAAACTCAAACTATTTTCTGACATTAGCCCTATTTTCTATCAGTTCTGCTATAACAAGCAAACACATTTTCTCTGAACAGATAGTTAATATTGCCCCTGGTCTGAAGCATTTACTTCTTGCTGCTTTTCTGCTTAGCAGTTTCACAGATGATTAGCTTGCAACTTCAGGGGACAGAATGAGACCCACAGCATTCCCTAGAAGAGCTACCATCATGTAGGTTTTCAGCACACGGTAAGGGAGCGACGTCACAGAAGTTACATATATCACTCTTCTGTGAGTATGAAGTGAACCACTGAAATCCATCCATCATATAAAGGACTCAAATCAGTCAACCCTTAAGCCCTTCTACCACAGAAAAGTGAGAGAAAAAAAATATAGAAAAGAAGTTGGCTTCATTCCCATTACTTCCATCTTCAAATATTGCGATACTGAACATGCCTTGAACTTGTCTTAAAGAGACATCTGACATCATTATTTTTTGTCTTTGGGATCCACTACTTGTATCAAACAGCAAGTATTCTCAAAGTGTCTCCTGGAGGAGGAAGCCTGCTAATCTTCCATCAAAAGGTTTTCTCTCTCCCCAGTTCAGGCAGAGGAAAGGTGATGGGACTGGTTCCACACGCTAACAATAAAAACAGGAGAGGGAGAGCAAATGGGACGGGCAGAGAAGTCATTTGTTTCCACCTTTCTCTGACTAGCAATAGGAGACAGCTGGCTTTTGGGTGACTCGTGACAGAACAGCAGAACTGTCACTGAGAGAAATGACATCCACCAGTCAGGGCACTAGGCTGACAGTCAGAATACTTCTTCCTACTCCTCATTCTACCTGCTGTGCAAACTTCAGACTCCATCTCTCCCCCATGTCTTGTCTATTTAGACAGAAAGCTGTGCAAGACACAGATTATCTACCTTTTGTATAACATTAACACAATGAATCCTACAAATCAGATGCAGTTCCTACACATCACTAAAATATGACTTGTCCATACTGTCAAAGAAGAGAGAATCACACAACTCCTATACTGCCAACGGATTTATAAGCCAGAAACAGACATTAATCAGATTTTGCAGGTTTATAAGGTACTAAGAAGAAAAAAAGACTTTCTTACCACAGTCTGATTAGAAGTAAAAAGCAATATGATTATTTTGGCTCAGACATACAAATTTTGAACAAGTCTAGCAAAAATTGCTAAACAGAAAATAATATAGCAAATTCCTTTAGGGAGGAAAAGGAGAGGTTTTGTCAACAACCTAACTATTTTCACACAGGTCACAGAATTATGTTCCAAAAGAATGAGAAATCATTATGGGAAGAATTTAGTCCTATGAACTTCATATTCCTGCAATATACCACAAAATATTATCAGTGTCTTTATTTTCTGTAGTGTTAAAATATAGCATGAAGAACTTAACTTTCAAAAAGCTATACAAAAAGTACTAGACTTAGAGTCCTTACTTTCAGCAATGTGCAGCTTCTTGTCTTGAACAGCAGAACTCTTCGTTTTGTAGTAGGATAAATTGTTGATTGTTGTTGCAGCATTGATGACCAACTCCTCACAGTCATCAATTGATTTGTATTCTGGTAATAAAAAAAAAATAATCCCAAAACATATGCATATGTTGATACACACTTAGCAGTGCATTATATCTTGAAGCAAACTGAATCATAGTTTACGTGGCTGCTATTACAGACAACTATTCTATTTTTCAGTAACACAGCAGAAGCTAACAGGAACAGCTGATCCAAAAATGGCAGTACCAAGTCTCTTTCCAACTCTTCTACTAAGGCAACACAGTTTAAAATCTGGTTAGTTAAGACATTTTACAGATCCTATTTGTTGTTTTAAGATGGAACTGAGGAGAATCCACATGCAGAAATAGGCCTGTGTGACAGACACAGAAATAGCAAGGACTATTATACTCAAATATTAAAAAAAAAAGAAAAAAAAAGAGACTTCTTTAGCAATATTTGAAAGATCCTGTCTCTTGGAGTTCTTGACAGAATGTTAACCAGTGTAAAATTAAATCAGCAAGTCTGAAAGTTGTGTATACCAATTTATCTGAGGCTTCTGGCCTCAGAAACCAAGACTGAAGGAAATAAGAGGGGTAAATTTGTAGGGAAGGAGAACATTTTGTAGTAAACTGATATATTGCCCAAGAAGAGGGGAGGGTGGCAGAGAGAAGCTTTGAGGCTCAGAAGAGCTTACACAATGATTAAGACAGTTCCAACTCAGGAAGCTCCTACGGGGTTTAAGACTATGGATGAAGTTGTGAGTCTGCCTTCTCTAATCCCTCATGGCTGGTGGGTAAGACTGGAAAACTAGCATATAATCAGGGTGATTGTCTTTACATAATATTTAACGTTCTCATCACACACTAAAATACACTGAGTTCTCTGAGATGGATCTCATCACTGCTAAACTCTGTTATGAGGAGAACAGACTGCCCAGTCCTAATCTGTAATTACATTTACAAAGGGATCAGTAAGTGGCAAAGGAACTGGAGTCCTAAGCCTCTGTGTGGAGGAAAGGGACACTCTCTTCCACATGAAAGAAATAAAGGTTGGAAATCTGAAAAAGAAGATAAAATATGAGGAAATTTTTCAAGGAGGCTGAAAGTTAAGGGTGCAGGGAACAAAAAGAATACTTAATCCAGAACAGTCACAAAACCTGCAAACCTTAAAAAAACCCACCACCAAACACACGTATGTAGCACTTGATAAGAACAGACTTCCCTTAAACATGAACTCTCAGTGAGATATATTTAAAATAAAATTTGTTTCCTTATCCTTAATGATCATATCTGCAGATCTTATCACTGAATGAAACAAATGTCTTTCCCCAGACACTAAAATGTCAGTACCAAAGCAGCAATGCATCTACTGTCTCAAAGGGGCTTTCGACACAAAACAGTTTATGAATATCAGCAGATTGACTTTGTTATTTTAGCAATGCAACCAATTTAGTAAAGTAGATAAGAAGGTCAAGTAGAAAAATTCTAAACTCTCCTTACAGATTGAACAAAGAAAACACGCACAACAGATTTTATTACCTAGTACTGTAATAAGTAATTCTACAATACGATGGGCAGCTGCCAGAGCTGCTCCTACACTGGGATGAATGGATAGATTGGCCAGGACTCTTATCAGTTTTATCAGAACATCTTCTGCTTCTGAAGGATGCTTTGGATGGTTTTTCTCTTCCCTTCCTCTTTCATGGTACCATTTCTGTGCATCCAAATCAAGTTCATGGTAGGTTTGGAATAATGATATCAAGGTGTTAACACTTCCTCTTTCTTTAAAGAATTGCTCACGGGCCTGGTTATTCTTTTCTGTTAAATTACCAAGAATGAAGATGATACGGATAACCAAATCCTGCAATAAAATAAATAAACCATATTACACGGAAAATATCAGAAGCTATTAGCTGCTTAAAAAGAAGATAATACTTAATTTGCTTCACAAATCTGTTAATAGTGGGTCCAGAAAAACTGAAGGAATGCCAAATACAGCAATAGAAATAATTTTTTATGTTACTACTTTTAATAAAACCTTTACAGAAGAAATCAAAAACATCTGACAGAACTAGTGTGTAGCATTGGTGCAATTACTAATGGGATATACTTAGTATAGGTCATCTATTTTTACCAAGACCAAACTAATCTTAAACAGCACTTTATATAACTAGAATAATCATATGGGCCAGAGTTTACTTATCTTTCAAGTAAGCAAATGTCAGTTGTGATGGTCAAAGACCCTTCTTCTCTAGGACTGTTATCCAATGTAGAGGTTAAACTACTTCCCTTTGATTTTTTACTGTTAAATCCATGTTAGTTTTTACTCATTTCCTTGTTAAGTCCAATTGCTGTCAGATAACTGAATTATTTGTTCCAGATTTTTACCAGAAATTTAATTTAAACTGACCAGTCTGTTATTGCCCAATTTCTCCTCTTTCTCCTTTTAAAGACAGATGCCCTACAGCCTTGCCACCCTACATAACTTTTCAAGAATCTCAGAGACATTACCCCTTTCTGTCCTTTTGCAAAGACCAAAGGGTAAATTTCAGCAGGCCTAGCTGCTTTGAAGACATTCAAATATGCTCCAGCTCATTTCTCAGTGATAAAAGAACTCAGGCTGAAGTACAGATTCATCATTTGATCACAATTAACCTTTCCAGAAAAAGAAGCAAATAAAGGCATTATATACTTCACTATTCACAGTGGCATCTGTCAATTCTCATTTTCTTCTGAACACTGAAGCAATTATTTCCTTATTGTCTTTTCACTATTAATGTACTATAAAAGTTTCTTTTTATGTTCCTTTCTAGTTGCATCAAATTTTGTGCTTTGGTTTTTTTCTGATTTTGGTTTTATGTGTTCTTGCTACCCTTTTATTCTTATCATTGCAAAATGAGACCTACTTTCTATTTTTATGCAGTATCTTGAGATCTTATGATTTAACCAAGTTGCTCTCTTAAAGCACTTCCTATCCCTGCCCTTCAGTGGGATATAGAATTACATTGTCTTGTTGCTTCATTTTGGACATACTGAGAAATAGCCTTTTTTTGGCAAGAATAGTGGATCCTGCCTGAATGACATTCAACAACATCCCCATCTTTTTCTTGCCTACCTGTGTGGAAAAAGAAAAAAACAAATTTTGGAAGCCTGAACTAACCAAAGTATAAAGTAATTAAAACGTTTGCCTCTGCCACTTGCATCAAAACCTACTCATTTTCAAAAAGAAAAGTCCATAGCTTTATCTTATCCATACAGGTAAAGTAATAGCATTTCTTCAAGTACAGCATGAGCATCTACCCTAAGCTGCTAAACTGCTGTACTTGCACTAACCTAGAATTTGCTGAACAATCTACATGCTGTTTTTCTTTAAATATAATAGCTATGTTCACAGATATTCTAATCCTTCCTGGTATTAATAACATAAGTTAACCAGATGAATGCTACCCCTGAGTATGAGAAGCAGGCAGTTTCCTAAGTGAGGAATAGGTTCTCATATCCCTGTATTTAATACGATCACTCTGTAGGACCCATCTTCACTTTTTTTTTTAACTAGGCATCATATTTTTGCTAGCATCTAAATGTCATCAAGACAAATTTTTATGAACATTTGTGACTAACCACTAAGAGCATTCACCTTTGCTGGCACAACCCCCAATTCACAAAGGCCATAAGAATATGAAACAAACAACTGATGAATCAGAAGAGAGAACTGAAAAAAGCAGGCAGGCTAGTTTGACTCGTTTATATTGACTTTCTAATTTTGGTCAAAACAGTATCAGCCCAGCAACAGCTCTACCCAATCAGAAAACAGACAAACAGGTACCGTACTGCAATCAACTGATATTTTGAGAAGTGTGATCTCAACTGTGCTTTCCACCTACAGGCTAGCAAAACAAACTTATAAAATACTTCTTTTTAGCTAAGCACATCCGGTTTTAATAGCATATTACTGAAGTTTCATTATCTTCCAGTGAAAATTTAACTAGCAGCCAAAGAGAAAACCTGGTACAACTTCTCCTGAGTAGTATAATACTCAAGGGTTTGTATTATTTTTGGCTACATTTTTTTAAATGCTCGTAGAGTAAGCACTGCAAAAGTAAGAAACATGAGCTTAGAATTGCTGGGTAAAGAAATACATGTAAAGATGAATGACATTTTGAAACTGCCTGCAAGACTAAACCTGCACAAGACCCATGGGCCTTTCTGCACATAACTAAAAAATCAGTATAATAAATGAGATTATTATGCATCTCCAAATGTTTGGAGTATTAACTGCATATGGAATTTCACACATTCTTGCACACTTACAGAAACACTACATTTATCAGATTAATTTATGTAATATGGAGGTTTTAACATGTATGGCACAAAAAACCAAATTAGATTAAAGATTGCACTCAGTTATTTCATCTTTTTATAACGAGGCATTCATGTGAGACATGCTGTCCAGAAAGTGTACTCAAACCGGAGTGGAAGGTTTTATATGAGACCACACAGCTTCATTGATACAAACAAATTTGAAGAAATATATCAAGAAAAGCTCACAAAGGAGAACTGATTTTTTTCTTTGCTTCCAATCTGTGAAGAAACTCTGATATTCTCGGTTTTAAAGTGGTAATGGCACCATATACTACCTCAGCATTTAACTCTTATTCTTCTGACAACTGAACATACACATTTGATATGAAAGATTTCTTTGCTTATTTCCTGCTGAAAATTTATTCCTTGCACTGCCCTAGTAGCAAAGGTACCCAATGTACCTGCTGAGTCAAGGAACTTGACAGACGTTTATCTTGGCAATTAAAGTGTACCTGCCTTTCAGTGTAAAGTATGATGAAGTTCTGGTGAAGTTCCCACTGACTGGAAAAAGGGAAACATAACCCTGATTTTTAAAAAGGGAAAAAAGTAAGACCTGGGGAACTAAGGCCAGTCAGTCTCACCTCTGTGCTTGGCAAGATCATGGAGCGGATCCTCCTGGAAACCATGCTAAGGCACATGGAAAATAAGGAGGTGACTGGTGACAGTCAACATGGCTTCACTAAGGGCAAATTGTGCCTGACGAATGTGGTGGCATTCTATGACAGCATTGTAGCGTTGGTGGGTAAGGGAAGAGAAACTGACATCATCTACCTGGACTTGTGCAAAGCATTTGACACTTTGACACACGACATCCTTATCCCTAAACTGGAGAGACACAGATTTGACAGATGGATCACTTGGTAGATAAGGAATTGGCTGTACTGGTCACACTCAAAGAGTTGCAGTCGATGGCTTGATGTCCAAGGGGCAACCAGTGACAAGTGGCATTCCTCACTGAGACTGGTGCTGTTCAACATCTTCGTTGGTGACATGGACAGTGGGACTGAGTGCACCCTCAGCAAGTTTGGTAATGACACCAAGCTGTGTGGTCCGTCCAGAGGGACCTGGACAAGGCCTGAGAGGTGGGCCTGTGCAAACCTCATTAAGTTCAACCAGGCCAAGTGCAAGGTCCCACACCTGGGTCAGGGCAATCCCAAGCACAAATGCAGGCTGGGCAGAGAATAGATTGAGAGCAGCCCTGAGGAGAGGGACTTGGGGATGTTGGTGGATGAGAAGCTCAACATGAGCCAGCAATGTGCACTCACAGCCCAGAAAGCCAACCACATCCTGGGCTGCATCAAAAATTTGTACAGCTCCAGCCACTATTTCTACTATTTCTTTTATCCTAGATTAAAGTATGATCTGCTAACAGAAATGTTTTCCATGTGCAGATTCTATTAATAGGAAACTTGCTCATGGTCTGATCTTTGTCATTGATAAATTAATTTGCTTAATCTTGGGTTGCATTGTTTTAGCTCTTCTCAGAGCTGTACCCAAACTTTCAGTATCTTTTGTAGAAACAAATACCAAAAAAATAAGGCAAAATATTTTAGTGACAGTTTCTGTAAGACTAAGCAGTAATACCTTCTTATTATTCTTATTTGATATTCTAACATTTACCTATCTAGTAATTACATCCACTCTCTTGTGTCTTTTGATACACCAGAACATCAGGTTTCGATATGATATATGCCAACAAAGGCTGGTTGAGAACAAATCTGGAGCTCTACATTCCCGATCATTTTATATTCAGAGTACATATCACATATTCTGCACTTTCCTTACCACTTCTGCCTTTTATTTCAGACAAAATGAAAAATCACACCTGAAGTATTAGGAAGATCCAAATACACTATCAGCTCAGCATACTGTCAGAAATCATACTGTAGGGAAAGGGTGACCTTCTGTGGTTATTCAGATTTATCAGCAGGGAAATTCCTTCAGAGTTGTCAGAAAATTTATAAGAAAATGTGTACTTCCTTCTTGAAAAAAAAGTTAATTCAAAGAGAATAAATGATCAGTTATGACTATTTATGTGCGCACACAAAACACAGGAGAAAAATCTCCTATCTGTTCACTGATAAAAGATTCCATGGAAGCTGGCAGGGCCCCAAAAGACCACCTAAGCTCAGGTAGTGTCTGACTTATTGACAGAAGGTACTTCCCTATTTCAGCAATCTCCCTGTTTCAAATGCATGGCCTCCTTGTGACTTATATCATTAAATGTCTACTCTATAGCTTATCTGAAAAGCTTAGAGATGGTAATGATCTGGGAAAGGGCAACAGCATCTTGTTAAAAGATTTCTGGAGATGGGTGAAAGTCTACAGTACTGACTGGCAACAGAAGCACGCAAAGCTCATCCTGCAAGACAGAGGCTCTACAAGAACATTTCTGACTGCCTTCATGGCATGTGGCAGCCACCAAGGCCTTTTTTTTACTACTCCAAACAAGTAAGCTCCAAAATCAACCACAAGTCCAACAGAATATGTACTTCAGATGCATAGAAAAGCACTGCTGAATTCCCCAGTCCTACCTTGAAGATCCAGCTTTTCCAATCCTCTGTACTCCTCTCCTTACCTAAGACTATGACACATGGAATTTAGCAAGTCTTGCCAACTCATTTTCCCCAAAAGTTTTTCTCACAGGGTTAAATTACTACTCTCCCATTCCTTCTGACTCTTTTACCCAAGAGAAAAAACAAGCTGAGAAAAAAAAAAAAAAAAAAGAAAAGAGCTGAAACTGAAGTGTGGTGAGAAGAACAGAGACTATTTGGGTGGCAGTTGGGGAATTCAGTATGTGGTGTGGGAGCAGGTCATTAATCCTATTTCCAGTGCTCACATTTTTTATTTTCACAATATTTAATGCTTATTTTTAAAGTCACAGTTATGAAAGCACTTGAGAAAGTCTGAATGCTGATTTTCTTTTATTTTTTTCCCCAGTATGCTTCTAGCTGCCATGATTGCCAGTAAAAAAACCTGATCCCATGAACTGTGTAACCTGAAAATTCAGAAAACATACACACTTCCTTTCTTAACTCATCAGTTCTTAGTCCTGAGGATTTTTAATGCTTTGAGTTATTAATACTGATTTATTCTCCTTTTTGCTGCTTCTTCCCACAACAGACAATTTTACTCACACTGCTGTTACTTGTTTTCTTTTCAACACATACCAACTCACTCTGTAAGTCACTAGCTGTCAGCATTTTAAAAGAAAGATTAGCAGTGCCAACTACACCTCAGGAAAAACATTTGCACTCCTCACAGCTCAAGTGTTTATTATATACTACAGGAAAAGTGGTGCTTTACATTATCTGTGTCCCTCTTGTTTCTACAGACAGGGCTTCACTAAGCTGACAACTGACAGTTGCATGCTTGGTTAAAAACTGCAGTAAGAAATATTCTGAAGACACTGCATATATATTCATCACAATATAATAACTATTTTTTTAATACATAAGCTATTTCTTTACTAATTTGTATTTTGATAGAACAACCAACACTTTAACACAAAAAGCAATGCAAATCTAGTGAAGAAAGATATATTTTAGAACCACTTAATAAATTAGACAAATGAGAATCTAAATTCTGAACATTACCTGATAACAAACAATTTGAGTCTACAATAGTTTATGAGCCTATGATTCATTATGACACAAAACTATTATGTCAGGAGCCTAGGAAAGTTCCCTTTAAAATTACAGATGAAGATTGAGAGGAAGATGTTACTCAATTTAAGCTCCTCATTGCCAGCACCATCATTTGTTGTATTTCTAATATGGTGCTCACAAGGACAAATAACTGTAAATCTAGTGAAATATCATGCCTTTGATACTTCTCATATTATTTACATAGCGTTTACATTGTATTTTACTAAAGTGTCTTTGAAGACTACACAATGCAAGAGCAGCCTGAACCTAGAAATACTCAGATATGCTTCAGAAATGTCAATCAACAGACATTTAGAAGGATACAAACAACTTAATATTTGTTCCTATTCCAAATGTATTATCACAGAAAACAGAGATGCAAGTAAACAGAAAAGGGAGAAATTATTTTTGCATTTGGCAAGAGAAAGAATAGATTGTTTAGCATAGCTGATCTGGTTACCTTCATTAACTGCCTTTAACAATAGCAGCAGAAAAGCCCTCCTTCCAATAATTCTCCAGGAATACTAACCCTGAGATAGATTGTATAGGTTAACTAAATTATCTCAAGCCAGTTTACATGGTGGAGCAGCCAAGAAAATTCCTTACTTTTAAGAATAATCTTAATGTGATTCAATGTTCTATGTTTTGAAACCTTGTTCCACCTTTGAGCATCTATGCTTTACATAAAAATTATTTCCATCTTAAATCTTACCCAGCAGTAGAGCTGAGTAATTTGCCATACATGGGGCACTCTGCTCTTACTCTTTAAAACTCTGATCCTGCACCAAACTCCCAGAGCCTGGTGCTCCAGCAAACGTCGGAAAAATCACTATTGATGTAGCAGGACAATACAGCAACACCTGACTCTTGAAGTTCTAATGAAGTTGGTAGCAAGTATACTCTTAAAATGTTACTTCATAATAACGAGGCATTTTGACAAACTCTAAATATTTCTTTCTAGGTGAATGTTCCAAATGCAGTACTCTAGGCATATGGTTTTCTCTGGTAGAGGAGAGATACATTCCGATACCTTATGCAATTATCAATGAACAAATTTTCCTCTGCTTTCAAATTGATTAACTCCAGAAATTTTACACTTCTTTTGCAGCAAGGAGGGGAGGAGAAATCCCAGTGATTTCCTACTACTAAATATTCAAATAAATTTGGTTTGAAAAGTATTTTTTAAAACTAAGAAAAATAATTAAGTACTCAAAAGACTGTTTCTACACGTGCAAAAAGGCCAGACAAGTTAATCAACTATCTGTCCTCTGCACTGCTTTGAATTTTTAATCTAAATTATTTCATTTCAATTATTTACTACTTAGAAATGCTGTCAACAATTTAAAATTTTTATTTGGTAAATGCATAGAAGTAGGTCACTGAAGACAAGCTTATACACAATAATACACAGACATATCAGAGGATTAATATATAAAAAGCAAGAGATGAAAAAACTGACCTGCTGCTTGTGGTGTTCGTTTAGTAGGGCTAAAAATAAGATGTAACATCTGGAGCAGTCTGCTAAAGCTGCACAGAAGTCATTGTAGGAAGAAAGTTTGCTATAAAGGTATAAAAATAAAACATAAATGAATGAAAGCACTTTTTTCCACAGAAGATTTTTTTTAAAATCACTCTGCTTTTGACTCTCAGAGCTGCATTTCCCAACAAATGAAATGAATGCCAACACTGTGACTTCCAGTAGAGGCATACGCAGTCAGATACGAGCACAACAGAAGTCTCCCTGTCCTTGCCACAGCGAAATACGGGAAGAAGAGAACATAAGGAGCTTCCCAACCCGCTTGCCATATGGCCCAGTATGCTAACACTAGCACTTCTTAGCCTTAAATGTGAGAATGCAGTTTCAAGATGAGATGTGAAGTCAGACAGTAGATGAAATAAAGGGTCCCTTCTTAATACACCTCTAGTATATCCCGGCAACAGCTCTAACAGACCCCGTCTCTCGGCAGCAAACATGGAGATTTTATCTCTGCATATTCCCCAACACCTGCTCCGGTCCTACACTGCTCACCTTGACCGTTACAAAAATAGAGAATTGGACGTGCTTTGGTCATATCAGAAATACTGCAATAATAGAACAAACTAGAGTAACCTCTTACTTCCTATGTAGTCAAAGCCAGCAAATATCTCTCCTGATGTTCAATTACAACCAATTCCAGCAAGACTTACAGGCTTAGAGAATTGAGTAATCTGAATAGATTGAACATATTCTCTACAAAGAACTTCTGACTGAGAGAAAAGACTAATCATTCTGTATTACCAGAAGACAAAGTGAAATTCAAATCTGTGCTTTGTACTGCATAGTATAATATTTTATTTTGTGACTGCAATTTCCAGGAAGCTAATTAAATTGATTTTATGGCTAATTTGTATCCTCGGAGCATGCAGTTCACTAAACTTAAGAGAAAAAATTGAAGCAGTAGGAAACTTTAAATAAGACGAATTACTTTTGCTCCATACTGAATTCTAGATCAAGTAAATGTCTTAGTTAGAATTACAGTGTAAATATCGATTACACTTAATTACAAACCCATTACCCCACTTTTCATGGCATTTTTCAAGTAGAAAAAAATGCTCTCTCCTTAGAAGAAGTAAATATGCTCAAAGTGCTGTAACCACTGCTAGAACTCAACTCCTTTTTAGGAACAAAATTAGAAAGACAGATACGGACAAGGTGGAATGGAATTGGGGAAGCAATTCACATGCTTTACAGGTAGCACAAATAGCAAAGGACCAGATTTGCCTGGTTTTTGCCATGGAGGGGAAGGAATAACAGTCCCTTATGTAGCTGCTCTTCAAAGCACAACCCGATCTCATCTCGCAAGGAGAATATGATGGATAATTTGCAGGGGCTGAACAGGAAGAGAAGGCCATAGCAGAATCTCAAGGAACACGGAGCCACAGGCAACATGACTCAATACAATAACAAAGCAGCGACAGCAAATAATTCATCCAGAACTGCATTCATAAATCGTACTTATAACCCAGCTCCTTCTGAAATTACCAACAGTTAATTTCACAACTTCTTCAAAATCTTTAAATTGTCTGCAAGCACATTTAGCACTGGATATTGCAAGCTGGTGCTCGGTAACTGGAAGATTTTTGACTGAGGAACTATTCAAACTACTAAAGGAACTTTCTGGGTGATTCACTCTTACTGATCTCCCTTTAGAAAGCACATCTTGGGAAATAGCCTCTGAGCTGCTCAGAAAACTGAGATTCTTTCAGTGCTTCCATCTGCACACTGAAGCCCTGATCCCACAGATTAATCTCCTCAAACACGCTGACAGCTCAGAGCAATGAACACTGATCACAATTTCTCTTTTGTATTTTATTTCACAGTACACAGTCCTGGATATAACTTAAGCCTGTGTAATTTCTCTCATGCATATTTTTAAAACATGGCCTAAAACAGAATTAATAAATACGTGCTCATTTCTGCAGGTTTAAAATATGAGAAATGATACTTTAAAAATGTCAATCAGAATCTGTGAGATCAAAGAATGACACAATACAATGAAACACTCTTCACAGGGACAACGAATTAAACTTTATATGGCTACAATTAAACAATTCTATCAGTGTCAACAGACACCATTATAATACAAAATCATTAAAAACTACATAGAGCTTTTAAAAAAAAAAACCAACAAACAATTCAATGTAAAACTTCCAAGTTTAGTGCCTGACCCTGCCCTCTTTGAGGTCACTGGAAGCAGTAACGCTGACCTGACTGCGTGCAGAAACAGGACTGTGTTCTATAGGTACCTGAAAATCCTGACAATGTAGGTGCAGACGTCCTTATCGTTGATACGCTGCTCTAGCGCCACGCAGAGCTCAGGGACTGCGCCTCTGCAAATGAGCTGGCATCTTGCCGGAGGTAAGTCAGCCACATTTCGCAGAGTAGCTGTCACCTGCATATAGAATATTCAAAGACTTATTAATCACAGCCGTTTACAACAGAATCCGCACTGTTTGGAAAATGTAATAAAGCTCAGATCTCATTTATAACGTGTAAGGCAGCCTGAATGCCCTGTGGGCATTCTGCAGGTATGTAACTACCAATAAATTATCACAGGAAATGGGTAAGTAACAAAATTGTGTATCTTGAAATAATTGTTTGAAAATGAAAGATCGACACAGGTCTTTGCCTGCATGTAACCTCCTATTTTGAGGGAAACGTGATCTTTCGTATGTTTTGAAGTCCATATACCTGTTGGAAATTAGGTGAAATGCTGTGGATAAAGTGATTTTTGCATAACTTCTGATTTTGCAAATTTACATTTAAGTCTTGAAAATTAATACTGATATATAGCATAAATTTGGATAATAACTATAAGTTGCAAACTAAGATGAAAAGACAAAATTTATTTTGACTAAAAAACTAAAAAGTTAATCACGATCAAGAGAAATCCACTATTCAAACACTATAAAAATGAAAAGCTTAAGCCCTCAAGTTTATTTTGGAGAAACCAAAATGTTTTCAGACAATATTGTTCTATTTCAAGGAGTTTTAAGCATACAGTACCTACCACTTGCAGATATGTAAAATGAATCAGGTATTGCATATTTTGAAAAGTTCTGGTTGTCTTCCAAGGTATTCAGGTATTCAAATGCCAAAGCCAGACAGGCAATGACATGTAAGTTAACTGTTGATCTAAGCCAGAACTTACTATAAAATTCACATCAAGTCATTTAATCTAATGTGAATATGGCCTTGATAATGTGAATGTGATACGTAAATGGATTTAACTTCAGCACTATATATGAAATGAATACTATATTCAGCATAAATCGAAATTGAACCTGTGGAAGCCATTTGCTTCATACTGCTTATATTTTAAGATGACACCAGAAGTTTTTTGTTATTTTAACTAAACAACTGCAAAAAATAAAATTCCATAAATGCATTCTTTCACAAGTATTGGAGAAATATTTTTTAAATTAAAATATTCTGATTCAACACTTTGCTATTCATAAGTTTTAGTGGAAAAATTTGACAGAAGAGTCCATTCAGGACTCACATACAAGATGTTCACAGTCAGCCTAGAATGATGTTTGTTGACCTCTAGCTAAATTTCACAAGAAAGAAAATGAAGGATAAACCACATATTAAAATTGTTGTTCAAACCCAGGTCAGTGCTTTCACTGCAGCAAAGAGACTTACATATTAGATGATGAAAGAAAATAGTAAAATCTTTATCAATAGATAAAGGTGCAGAGGTCTCCAAAAAGAGAGTAACATTTTTCACTGCCTGAGACAGTTAGGCAGTTCAAAATTCTCCAGCAGTAAATTCTATCAAGAGGTATCCTCAGACAAAGACAGGTTGGAGAGGAAAAGCAATCCAAAATAACACATACACTTAAAAGTGCGAGACAATGAAATTCAGAAGTCGATAGAAGTATATATCCACAAAAGAACAGTTAGTACATAAGTGAAATTTGAAGAGCAAAAATTTAAAAGTAATAGAAGCTAGCTACACAGCAAATGAATTCAAGAGATATTGTATTTCTTCAAGCAGATACCATGATTCAGGGAGCAATGCACAACAATTGGCTCTAAGTAATCCCCAACAGTCCTAATCCTTATGTTGCCATGTGAAAGACCAAATTCACCCGAACAGAAAATTTAACAGCAGACAAATGCTATTTTTAAAGGAGAAGACATTTGAGTGCTTTTCAATTAGGGAACATGGAGTACTTGTTAAGTCTTGTCAGTGACATTTCAAAAGCCTTGGCTTTTGAATAAGCATTACCATATTTCATATAATCAGATTATTAGGTGAAGCAACATAAATTGAGCCAAAGACGTCCTTGGTTTCATATCCTCTATTAAGGAAAAATAATTGTTATTACAAAAAACTTTAGTATTGTATTGCGGGAATTCTGCATAAAATCTACTGTGTAACAATGAAGAAATCAGAGAGGGATTCCCACAAAAATGGCCTGGCAAGTTTATGTATAACACTGCCATCTGGTGATTGTGCAATTATATGGTTAAAGAATGCAGAGCTGGTCCCAGTTCACTGAGATACTTCAGTTTTTAAGATTAAGAGATGACAGAGCCTCCCTCAGAAACCACTGTGCCTATTTAAAGGTGTTTTTCTCCTCCAGTATAATTTGCTCTCTATTCCTGAAGACTCAAATTTATTCATTCATTATTTCTGTATGTCACCAGATAATTGATCTTTTGCTGCAAGTTACAGTATGCAACAAAAACTTCCTTTATTCTGAAGGTGTGAATCACAGAAGAAAATTTCTTTGATACTATAAACCTGAAAACAGAACTATCCCTACATCTGTCTGTGATGACTGGACAGTTAACTCACATGGAAGAAATGGTGCACGTTAATGTAGATTTGTTAAAGAAACTGCTAAGAGAAAGTCACACAGGAATTCCATAGAAGCAGGAATCACTTCTTTTCTCATGAGAGGAAGAAAAATGAAGTATCTGTACTACTAGAGAAAAGAACAAAAACAAGTTGAACAGCAACTTCAGTAAGAGACAGCTGTCAGTATTGACTTCTCCACAAAACACTCGAGGCCGTCTTAGAAACACCCAGTCTCTTTAAATGGTACAAAATAGTTTTGCCTACACTTCCAGTTATACTGAAAACAGCAGAGATAATAATGACTGGTTTTATTGGGTACCTAAAAATATTTCTATTAACTTCAAAATTTCTAAAGCCTTTAAAATTGACTACACAAAATTATCTATGATAATTAAATTTAGGTCCTGAAAAACTTCATGCAAACGTCTTAAAAAGAGAGGTATTCAAACACAGGTACAACTCTCTCAGTGGCACACAGGGTTGGCTTATCTCCTCTCATTAAATTTTTAATTTACCCTTGAAGTGTGTACTTTTAGAAATAAAAGTAAATGCTAACCTGGACTAACAAGTGGCCCAAGTTGGAGAAATATGTGTCATTTTCTTTTATATTATTAATCTGCTTCATTAATTGCAGAAACATTTCAACAGCTCCTTTGTTGACCATTTCATTAAGGAGTACTGCATTTCCAGACATGCATTTTACAGCTCCCATGCAATACAGGAGAGCTTCACAGTTTTTTTGTAGATCTTCAGTTCTCAGGACCTCCAACAAACAATCTAAAAGGAAAATGATTATTCAGAAAGCCCAATAATAACATTTATATTTGACACAGTCCAGTCATTAAAGAGATTAACAATTGGGGAAAAAAACTCAGATTGAACTCTTACAGTTCTAATAAGTGGGGTAGAAAAACTAAGTATTTGGATAGAAACCAAGAAGCAATTATTGATGAATAAGAGAATGGGCCTGACTTCTGTTCTCCCAGGCTTCATGAACCGGCACTAGTTGTAAACACATAGCAGTAATCATTGAAATCCTCAGTCAAGATTTGCAAAAGTGATTGTGTGTGCCTGGAATTTCGTGTACTAAACTTGAGATATTCTAAAGAGATTTATTCCCACTAGTTCCTTGAAAATCAAACGTCTTAAAGCATCTCAAATGGAGCTCTAAAAAGCACAGGCGTCTAATTCAAATCTCACATTTGAAGTCCGTTCGTAGCCTTTATAGATTTACTTTTTATGTAGATAAAGTTTCTGTAAAGGTTTTGCTTTATGCTACCAGTGTCAGATATCTGAAATGTTAAAATTAACAGTTGTTGGCACAAGCCCAGTGTATATCTCACAGTCAAATTGAGACACTCTGAATTTGGTGGGTGTATCTTCAATAAATAAGTAATCCTAACCAAATTTATACTTTTGAGTTTCTAGCAACTGATTGGAACTGATATTTACTTCTGCTTCCTGTGTTCCATCCAGTTGAATAAAAACATTTTCCCATCTCATTAAACTTAAGAAACTTCTAAAGTTTTTTCTGTCTCAAGTATATGGGTATATATGGATGAAGTACACAGACTCTGGGCTCTTGGCCAAACTCTCACCCTCATCAAGTGCCTAGCGGTCAGCTAAATCACTTGGCTCGTGGCAATGTGAAAAAAACAGTTTCAGGTCCCTTCTTTGCTCAGTATCAAACAGTGTCTTTAACAGTAGTTGTCTATTTTGGGATGAATGGTTAATTGACTTCTTCTTTTGGAACTGCTCCACTGCACATAAATAGTTCACAGGGCCAGAGAACAAAAAATAAATTGAACCTATAACCCAGTGAATGCAACAAGAATCTGGGTGATTACGATGATAAGCAAGGTTCATGTCTTTGGCCTGGATAAGGTGGGTCCAAGACATAAAGAGTGAATAAACAAACAAACAAAACCCTAACAAAAACATTCCTTCCTTTATTTTTTAAAATACAGGGAAAGAAGAGCAAGTGAAAGAAAAGTGAGTGAAGATGAAAAAGAGAGGGAAAAAACAATGCTTAACACGGACATAGCCACTCAACTTCTCCAGATTTTTGTATGATGCTAATCTCTATAAAACTGTAGTTTTCAGTATCCAAAGTCAGTTGAGCTATCTGACCTATTCTCTCTTCTCCAAGTCCTTTCCTGTTGATCTTACTACTGGAAAGGTTTACCTGGTCTTTATTTATGACAACACTCACATACTAAATTTTGAGACCATCAATACTCTCATCTGTTTAAGCAGATAGACTTTAACATATGCATTATTGTTATATAGCAGATATACGCATATGCATTTATTCAATAAATGCTTGCAAGGTAAAGATCTATGTTACTAAAACATAATGAAGTTTTAATGAAAGCAATTACCATCAACTGATACTGAGTATCATTCATAGACTGTCATATTTTTTTTTTGTGGTTGGACTCAATGATCTCGGAGGTCCCTTCCAACCACTAAGATTCTGTGATTCTGTGATTTTCTTCATATTTCTCATACTTGCAAGGTGTGTGTGGCTGACACAAATACAGTTACAATTGCAGAAGAGTTCTTAGAGCCATTGATGACAATTTTCCAAAATCATTGGCTCAATGTGCAGCAGCAGCTAAAAAAAGCCAATGATTAGTCCCAATCTCCTTCCTGATGATGGCCAGCAACACAGCATTATTTAGCCTCTATAAAATTTGGTGGGGACACATCTTGACTTGTACAGACAGTTTTGTTCTGTACAACTCAAAAAGGATCTACTGGAATTGGAGAAGGTATAGAGAAGGGCTACTAAAACAAGTCAGAGAATGACAGAGTATCCTTTCAAAGAGAGAGCTAAAGGGCTGAGATGCCTCACTCTGAAGAGGAGAAGGCAGAGATATGTGATATGACTGTGGTCTAAAAAAAACATGAAATAGAGGGTAATCTGAATGTAGAAACTTAGAAATCCTGCAAAATTACAAGCAGGGGTATGATGAAAAGTAGATAGGTTTAAAACAGCAGACAAAGACCTGCTGGAACATGTTGCTCTATGAGATTGTAGAAACAGACAGAATCAGAAAGTTCAAAAAGGAATTAGGCAAATTAATGAACAAAAGATCTATAAACAGAGAAGACTACAAAGAATTAGACAGGGATGCACTACCTAATGTTCCTAATAGAATGCAACAATTCTAGATGCTGGGGTAGTACAGAGGAAACAAATCACAGAGACCACATAGGTTTCCATTCTCTCCCTAAACAGCATCCCCTATTGCCACCATTAGACACAGAGTACCAGACTAGATGGACAGTTAGTTTGACTTAGGAGGCAATTTTTAGTGTGTTAACTCTGAGAATGTTTCTTGAAAGATGATCAAACTATTGAATTTCAACATCTAACTTATAAACAAGAACAGAATACGTACCCAATAATCTATCATTTTGAATCATGTTATCATTTTTTTCATTCCTGCAAATTTTAAATGCAAGCTTGCAAACACTGAGAAGATTTTTTCCATCCACTTTCATCTGCAAAGAAAGTAAAAGACATAGAAATCACAACTAAAATCTACATACAAAAATGCACTGTAACATTTTACAAGTTCAGACACTGTGGCAAACTTGTATTTTCACAGACCTATTAAATTCCAGCTCAAACCCTGACAGTACACGGAGCCAAACCAAAAAGTTTGCAGAATTAAAGGATTTTGAAACCTGGATAGTTCAGTCTCTATTTAACAAATTGCGCTGACTTGTTTTAAAATAACAGATTAGATATCAACTTTTCATGGATTTTCTACAGGTAGTATATCAGTAACTTACACCTTTCCTTTTTTTTTTTTCCTCTAATCTAGTCTTAGAAAGAAATTCTGCACAGGATTCACTGGTTTGGCATATATGGCCATACCACAAAGAGCTCCAGCACAACAGTAAATGTCATAATGAAAGCTATTCTCAAATATCAGAAAGCAAGATCTTCTGATGTACTATCAGTCATTGCGAGATCATGAAAAGGAAGTAAAAGTGTTAAGAACACAATGACAAATCTCTTCTCTGCATTTCAAGGGCAATTTCTTCTCTTGTTCATGGTTTTTAAAGGATTCCATAGAAAAATGTCTCTAATAGCTTTTTTTTATAAGCACCAGTTAACATCTCTGCAGTATCTGAATACATGATTATATCTTCTGATTAAAACAACACATGCAACCTTAAAGGAGTTCCTCCTCCCAACACACACACACATATATTACTAAAATGCCCACAACACAATGTTAGCTGATACCCTTCCACCAGTGACTGTCAATACATACTTAGCAGAACCTGAGCCAATAGGTTCAAAAGCACCAACTTAATTGAGAGTTTTAATCAGAAATACTAGAGAATAAGATAATTACACGTACTTTCAAAGAAAACTTGTTTTGGTATTTTCAGGTAAAGGTGTTTAATAAGGTCAATATATTATTCAAAAACTAAGCACTTCCATGTGTAATTTTTTAAATTACTGTCTTGTTTAACTCCCTGCATGTGTATCCCAGCTTAGGGCACTGTCTTTTTTCCACGCTTAAGCAATATTCCTGCCATCATACACTAGTTATCCCATTTTGTGTCCCTCCTTCCTGCCCCAGACATAATTCCTCTGCAAATATAGGCTCCAACAAGTGTCAGTCTGGATGAATGGAGACTAGTATCCGTACGACAAGAAATTGTGCTTAGGAAAGGGATAGTTTAGATGTAGTTTACAAGTATGAAATGAAAAATTAAATGCAAGTTGTAATTCACAATTCTGAGCTTCACATTCTACAAGCAGCATTTTAAAACACTTACAGCCAGAATAATCTTTGCCAGCTTCAGACAAAGTGGATCTGAATCAATGTCTACAAGTTTATATAATATCTTCAGAAGCGCACTTCTTCTTTTAAATCTTTTTCCAAGCATATTTCCTTCATTCAAGGCTTGATAGAGCTCTGTGCAAGCCAGACAAAGATTTTCTATATTGTCTTCTACTTGAAGGGGTAGGAAGGGAGAGAAAAATAAAAAAATAATTATCAGTGCCACCTTTTCCAGAGCATCTCAATAGGCAAAGACACAGGAGAACAAAATAAAGAATGGGTTGCACAACAACAAAAATAAGGCGCCAAATAAATCTCTTAAAATGATAATGTGATCCTCAGAAACAGTTTTATTCTGCTCTTTCAAAAAGAAGACTCAAGGCAAGAAACCACAGAGCCAAAATAATACCTTAAGCTAAAATGAAACTCGCCTTTAATGCTTCATAATCAGATTGACCAAATATCTACCAGGAAACTGTGAATCTGAATATATTTCTTTAAAGAGCTCCATCAAACATTACACGTGAAAAATAGACAGTTAGGGAATATTTTTCTGCCCACACACATAATCTAATATATCAAACCTTGCTGGGAATTAGAACAAGTGAACATAAAAACTCATTAGAACTCCACAATGCACAGTAGAGCTGCAAGATATATCTGAGTGGACTGTTGGCCTATGGACAAAATAAGTCATCTACCTCCTAACCCATTTGAAAAATACAAAAATAAAACCTGCAGTAAACTATTACAAAATCTGCATCTCAACACAGCAGAATCATGGACATGTTTACTTTAGAGGGAAATGGAAAAGTTTTGCCTATTTTTTAAATTTAGGAGTGAAGGTTTTTTTTTTTTCCTTTTACATTTGCTTTTGTCTATAAGGTGACACTAATAAAGCACTGTACAAAGCCACTTAAACTGCATGTAAAAACTCTGTGTTTACTCAGGATGTACTTCACAGCTGAAATAGAGTCATAATGAAGAAGGCAAAGTACTTGTGATGAAATATACATGGACGGGAAATTGTGACAAAAAACTATTGTATCTAAGGCCCCAAACCTGTAGACAGATTGAAGGCCCCAGTTCTCATGCTGACCAGTGCCTGGAAGCTCTCAATTCACAATCATCGTACTCAAGGAACAGCAATGATTATTCCATTTCTACTCCTATCATGACAGAAAATTTAACAAAATAAACACTCTGCTTCTGTAAGCAGTGAAATAGGAGTGGCAAGGAACCAAAATCAGAAGGCCTCCATTTCATTTCATCAAAACTAACAGCAAAAAAAGTTATTCATCACTCATCCCATGGGGCATTTTTGAAGCTTATCCTCCCTTGAGTACTGGAATGTAACAAAATTAAGTATTTGCTCCTCTAGAAAAAGAGGGGTTCTTTTTTTTTTTTTTTGTCACATAACAAACATCTCAAGTACATGATATTAATAAGATTTTAGACAATAATTAAGTTCCAGGTTAAACTTCAGATTTGTTTTTGAATGAAAAGCTTTCTGCAAGTATTTCCAAGGGAGAAAGGGGAAGAAAAAGGCTTTTCTATTAATATATAAAAAACTAATTGTGACTTAAATGCACATGCACGGAATTAGCTGAAAGGTATGAAGCAAGTGACTGCACCCAAAATTTAAAAATATTGAATTAACAACAGATCCACTCAAAACATTAAAATTACAGAATTCTAATATTCATTTTGATAGGAAAAAAACTTAAATTGTGCAGTAAAAAGCCTAAATTCAGTTACAATCTGCATGAACATTCAAGAAGCAGCGAAACTCTTAACTTTAAGGTTTTTGTAGTACTATATTCAGTCAACTGGTGAGAAAGTATCATTAGGTAATTTCATTTATTATTATAAAAAATAACCCATAATCAAGTTTTTTAAAAAGCTAAAAACCAACCCCAACACACTAACCAAATCAAGTAAAAACTGTGGAAAAGGGGCATGAAATTTGATTTACCTTAGTAACATTCATGTCAAGAAAATACATGATTAGATTTTACCTCTAAATAATATTTTGCTTACCTATAAAGAATATCTCACTAGGCAAAACTTTAACTCAGTGGCTCCTATTTGACAATCTTAGAATTAAGCAAGGAAAATGTGAAGTTGCATGGCTGTTCTCAGATTTTCTGATCAGTTTGTCTACACATCACTGACAGATGTTGGAATGAGAGTCCTGTCTTTTTAAAATAATGATATACTTTGGGAATCACTCAGTACTGTACAGGTGTTGCATATTCATCAACATCTGCAAAATTATGCAAAAAAATATTCTAATATGTACCATGCTATAATGTACAATGCTATAATCTACAAAAGATTCCATAAACCAGAATCAATCCCCTAATTTGACACTCGCTTTTAACCACCTGTAAAAAGTGGGGTCACCTAGAGACCACCTAGTTGCCCGGGCCAGTTTTACACTGCAAAGTCACTGAACGTATGAAAGCATAAAAGAAAAAACATAAAACAAAAAAGAAAAGAAAACATAGTCCAACTACTGTTATTCCTTTGTAGTGAACACAATTGAGACCCATGTTTCCTGCAGGAAATAGCACAGAAAATGCTCCCTTTCAAGAATAGTGTTACCCACCTTTTTCCAGTTCATGCAGAATTGGTAGAACCTTTATATGCCAAAAGATTTCTTCCTCTTCCGATTCATTTTTTCTTGTTTCATCCTCTGAGCCTTCAAAATACATTCAAAACAAAAGCACATATTCAATGATGGTTTCAAGTTTTACAAAAATAAATAGCTACAAATCTGTTATTCACCAGTCAGAAAAAAGTCTAAAAATGTCATATTTTGCTATATTCTGGGTCATGCTATCTACTCAAGCTTTTGTTTTTATTTACATTTTCTCAAAAACATAAGTTTGAAACAGAACTAGATGGATAAATGTTTTGATATGTAAAGATGCACCATAAAGCCAGATTTGTTTTTGTTTGCCTACATTAATGTTTCACAGAATCACACAGAATCGTAGTGGTTGGAAGGGACCTCAGAGATCATCGAGTCCAACCACAAAAAAAAAAAAAAAAAAAAAAA